CCGGCCCGCCGCGGCGGGTGGTGCCCGAGGCCCGGGCCGTGCCCTCGCCCTGCGGGTCGTGGGGTCCCCCTCGGCTCGGAGGGCGCCTCTCGGTTGTCCCCGGTCGGCTGAGCTTCTCGGTGGTGCGGGTGCGTGTCCTCCCTCCCGGCGGTCTGCTCTGCTCCGGCCCGGGAACGGCGTCCCGCTCCTGCAAATCAGGCTGACGACCGGGAGGGAGACTGGAGCCGAACCCCGAGTCCGCCTTTAAAAAAAAAAAAACAAACCCAAGAAATGTCTGAAAGTACGGTTGGCTTGCTGAGAATTTAGTTTGCTAACGAAAATAGCAAGTCGCTTTTCAGTTGAAGTTTGCGGCAGGTGAGAATTCCTGCTTTAGCTTGGGTACTTTGAGTGCTTGACCCACTTTGTGTTTAATCTGCTTCACTATGGTTCCCCCTTGCTTATGGTGTTGTGTACCAAATACTGAAGGAGCGTTTAATAAAACATCTTTGGCTTTTTAGTAGATACAAGTGAAACTGCTTTTAATTCGGTTAGTCTAACCAGCTCAATTTCAGGTTGTGTTCCTGTACTCAGGCTTGGATGCACTCAATCCTCAACAAGCATGTTGAGGGTGTTCAGTACGCTGTGAACATGCCGGCAGGGTACACTGGGAAATTATTGAACACTCAGCTATCCTTAAAGAAGCCTTTTGGAATAAACCCTCTGAATAAAGAAAACCTACAGCAAATATGTTTTCATTGTAGTATGTGCCTGTGTGTGCCTTGTGTTTTCTCTTCAGTAGTTCCTGAGAGATTTGCTAAAAAACAAACCAGAACGAGCGGAGCCATGCTAGTTTGCTCTTCCTGACAGCTTTTTGTGCTTATACAGATGATTTATGCTAAACGTAGGAGCATCCCTCTTATGTTGTCACAAAGGAGAAAAAGAACCTGATGGGCTTCACCCATCCACTATTAAAGCAGAGTTTTGAAGTTTCATTTTTCCATTTTAACAGCATTTAAGGTTATATCTAAAGGCTTCTTGTTGTGGAGCTTGTCTTGCCAATACTGGCATGATTTGACAGGTGCTCAGAAGCACACACCCTCTGTGGTTTGTGTTAGCAGCTTTCAACTTGGAGTTGTAAGTGTACGAAATTACTCCTGTCTGTGGGGAAAAGGCTGAGTGAATAGTATATAGCAGTTTGATTCTAGTGTAGGTGATGGTGAGGAATGAGGAAAATAGTCCTTGATATATTTCTCTTATCCAGATGGCAGAATTGTGTTTCTTTGGTGCTCTCATCCAGGACAGTTTTGCTAAAAAGAATATAGCTCCTGTGTATCTTTACCAATGAAATGATGGGATCTCTTGGAAATTTGCTTTGAGACTTAACGAATATTTAGTATTTTCTGTTTGCTAGTGCAAGCACTGAAAACATTCATATGATGCCAGTTTCCTTAGGAGTGATGAAGAATCAGTACAAGCACTTTCTGTCTTGGTATCTCTGTAAATAGTAGAGGGTTGAATATAATTTTTCTTCTTCTAAATGAATGACTTCACATGACTATACAGTGAGGTTGTAGGGTAGTGTACATATTCCAGACTAGACAGGTGGTGGTTTTTAATTGCTACAGTTGACATCGAAGTGAGCTGAAAATACCAAAGAGCAGTTTCTTTGAAGAACGTGAACTTGATTCTCTCGCATCATTTTTTGAGATGTCACTAGTTTTTATTTTGCCCCTCCTTCATCTCGATTAAGATCTTAAAATACAGCTGACTGCCATCTGAGTACGCTTGCCATGGCAGGATGGTTTTTTTTGGAAAACCAGTTCCCTCAGTCAGTTTGACTTTCTCTGTGATTTAATGTAATGGTGGCGCAGGTCATTTAGAATGGATTTATCTTGACAGTTTCAAAGTGTATTCTCTGTTCAAACTAGAGCTTCTTGAGTCTTCCCCAAAAAACTGAGAAACGTCCAAATGTGGTTTGCCCAAACTGATCTTATCTGTGACTCTGATGCTGGGGAAAGTGTTTTCTTCATTTTGGTGACTTGCAGTGAATCTAGTAAGAATTACTGCAGATCCAAAAGCTACTCCCAAACTGGTTCAGCTGCATTTTGCCACTCTTCCTCTCTACCAGCCTTCCCATATGAAAATAAACTCTTTGGCAGCCCACCAGCTATACAGACAGATGCTGTAGTAAGGAGATATTTGAAGGGTTGGGTGCAGGAGAGCTTCCATTGATGAGGGTGCTTCTGTTGCTGGTATGGTTTTTGAGAAGTTGGGAGGTAGAGGCTGACCCTGTGAGGAAAGACTTTATAAGTGGTGCTAAGAACTACTGTTTCATCCTGAGCAACAAGAATAAAACTGGATGTAGTTGCACTTAGGAGAAATTTTAATAAATGTTAGTCATTATACAAATAACTCTGTAGACTTTCTCCCTCTTGGCTCCCCCCCCGCCCCGTTATGTGAACTGAGCTTCTGCTGGGGTTTTTTTTTTGCCTTTTAGGTCAATCACTAAAACAGGATATCTTTTCTTCCATTTCTAAATATCTGTTATAAGTGGGTAAAAAGCTTTAGCAGCTGAATCAGTATTGTCCCTGTTAAAATGTTAAGTCAGTTTTTCTTTTTTTTTGGTGTATGTCCACCAGGAAAAGGTCTGACCTCTAGGAAGAAAAAAAAACCAAACATGCTAAAATCCCTCAGATGTCTTCCACTAAGTTTTCCCTTGATGGGAAGAAGTAGTCTGGCTGTCCTATATGCAGGCATTCCCTTCCCCTCTGAGATATGTATGTTTGTCTCATTTCATAGTTGTACTTCAGAGATAAATGGCAACTGATGACCCGTTCCTTCTAATTATTAATGCTTTGAGAGAGAAAGCTTGCTGGTCAGCTGTTCCTAGTGCTTCCAGTCAAAATGTTTTCCAAAGAATGCTTTAATTTTTCTTTGGCATTACAGGTGCCAGTGAAAGTGTGGGAAAGCATATGCTTGAAGCATGCAACAATAATCTGGAGATGGCTGTCACCATGTTTCTGGATGGTGGAGGCATAGCAGAGGAGCCTAGCACCAGTTCTGCAGGGGTGTCTGCTGTTCGACCTCACACTGAGTATGTACCTGATGAACGTGTCTGTATAAATGAGTAGTCCGTCTTAAGAATAGCGTAAGGCAGAACAAATAAGGCAATTGTCACTTCTAACCTGCTGTCAGCTCCCTGTAATACGTGCTTCTTTGATGATCTTGTTAATTGATAGCCCCCATATTGTTCTGGGTAAATAAGTTATTACGTAAGTTGGTATGTAGACCAACATCAGTTAGTCTCTCTTGCATGTACTTCAGAAGCTTTCTGTAGCTTATACGTACTGGTTTTTGTAAACAGAGCTCAAGATGTTAAAGGGGGGATCCAGTAGTAAGAGATTCTTACTTTTAAATTGCTCCAGCAATCTTGCTTTACATTAAATTGGCAGTTAGAGAGTTCTGTTGGTTTCGTTCTTAGAAATGTAGTGACCTTAGTCCCATTTGTAGGGTTTTATTGTGTTGTTTTAAGTGTAACCAGATTTGGCACTGGGAAGGCTAGATCATGTGCACTAGTATGCAGAGGAATAAGCAACTACAAAATCTGCATCAGTGTCTTAAACATCAGATGCCAATAAAGGAAAGAGTTCTTCCACTTAAACATGCAGAGAGTCTTTCACTGCTGCCTGGTAATGTGGCTGCTTGGTATAAATGGAATATTTTGAGTGGAAGCTAATTGGTATAAGTCACATTCATTAAATGTTCTAAATTAAACCTAGCTGTGCTTTTCTCTTATGAAGATCTTCCACTTCAGGAAAAAGAAGTAACTTTTAAAGAAAGTTCTTGCCACTCATACTTCTGAAGCACATGCATAAATTTAAATAATTCTTTTAGTACTAACCTTTATAGTTGATGTCAAGTGCCTTCCTGCTTGAACCTTTGACAGGTAATGAAGTTAAAACTCTGTATCTATAGGTGTTAGAGTTATTATTTCTAGACAACTTCTGGCACATCAGTGACTTAAGATTCAAGTTTTTATTGGAATACTTTCTTTTTTATACTTGACACCCTCCAGGTGCTGGTCAGCTTAGTGTTACTTCTAGGAAGAGAGAACAATAAATATGCAAATGCAAAATGGAGAATAACTAGCTTCACAACAGCAATCAAAGATGTGGAGGTTAATAGCAAGGTTAGTGCATCTTGCTGACATTATGAGTTACTTTTTGAAACCTGCATGGCCAAGAGCCACAAACTGCACACTTTCGAAGAGTCTGAGGGAAGAGGGCACTTCATAGTTCATAGGCAGGACAAAGCAATAGATTTCCTTGGGTGAGCCCATGCCCTCCTTCACATAAATCTATGAGCCAGGTGACCACACTGAGTAAGTGATACTGTTTCAGAGGCCTTGTGATTTCCTTTCTTCTAGTCATAATTTCAGATTATCTTGCAGTCTCTGCAAGCGTAACTAAGCTGTTGCTATGTGAGGGAGCCCAGCTATGTAAGCAAAGAATTGCTTCAGAAATGGGGGGAAATGGCTGCTTTGACCATCTTGTTTTCCTTCCTCTGGAAAAGAGAGGGCTGTGAGTTTCAAGTGGAAGCAAAAAGTCTTCCAACAGAAGAAAGCTGGTAATAAGGAAGATAGTTTTTTTTTCTCTCCATGTAGATAATCGGGGAGGAGGGTGGCAAGTGGATTAATTAGCAGCCTTTGCTAAGTTTTAAGAAACTTTTCCAAGTTCTAAGAAAGTTATTGAAGAAGAAAAAAATTTTTAAATAGTAGATTGACAAAGCCTGGGATCAAGTCACCCAGGGATTTGTGTAATCTCCTGTCAAGACTTACAAAGGTCGTCCATGCCAGATCTTAATGCAGAGTGTACCAAGTCCTGCATCAGTGCCATGAGTGGGAATAGATGGTCTCTTCAGGTCCCTCTTGACCCCAAATCTCTTGATTTTATGCAATGGTATAGCAGCATCCTTAGCTGGTTTGAGTCACAGGAGCCTTTGGAGCACAATGGGATGTGGTTTATATAGTACTTGAAATATTATAATATCTCTGATTTTTTATTTTTTTTTCTTCCCCTTTGATAGGGATGAAGTACGAGCTCCAATTCCTCAAAAACAGGAAATTTTAGTAGAGCCTGAGCCCTTGTTTGGAGGTAGGCTTGTGTTCTTATTTTGGTTTTTTGTTTTCTTTACCTTGAGATGAGCTAAGTGACAAAAGAAAACCAGAACTTGCTGAATGTGAAGAAAGCATTGTATGTATTTTTATTCTTGTTTTTTTCCCTGCTGCAACTCTGCAGCCATGTAACATGATTGCGTACTTGGAAATAACACCAGTGTTATTGAAAACCTCGCACATTAGAGATGCTACATTCCCAGTGGTACTTATTTGCTAACCCCTGTTTCATGAGACTTTGTGAGGCAACAGCCAATTAGCTATGATTAAGTATGCACCTGTGTTCTGGGAGTTCGGAACCATGTGATGCTGCTGTGAAAGAGTTTAAGGAGGTGGGATAAAAGATTGAGCCTTGATTGACAAGTGAAAATGAAGAGGACAAATGCATGCTTCTCGGGGAGATGATAGATTAGAAAGAAGGGCTGAACTGTATGATTACACATCACTTTCTCCATTTCTCATTTGGGAATTTAATTTGCTCTTTAAACTGCATCATGCAGCTAGTTTTCTTACTTGTTTTCTGAAACTGTTTATCACTTTTGCTTTTGAAACATTTTTTTGCTCTAAGGGAACAGGTGGTGGAAATGGTGTTTTCTTTTTGCTGCTTATCTAAAACACTGTTTAGCACTCATGTAGTACACTAATGTTCTGAATCTCAAAACCTCAATCTCAAACCTCTGCTGTAGTGATTCTTTTACAGCAGCACAGGGGTGGAACTTCTATAGCAGGACTGGATTGCCTGGTGCATTATCCTCACCTTTTGTGTAGTGTCCATGTCTGTATGGAGATCTAAGGCTCTCTCTTTTTATGCTTACTTCCTCTAGCTTTGTGAGGCTCTGTCCTTCTCATGTTGACCAGGCCATTTCTGGCTGTCTGTATGACTTTTGCCATGTCAACTACATTGAGAGTCTTGCCCTTTTTATCAAGAAAGGGCATGCAATTGCTTGTCTGTAAAGTGGTTTCGTACCCATAGGAAATGCTCTTTTCTATTGTTTAGTTCCTGTGCTAGAAAAGAGAAGGAGGCCAAGCTTCAAGTTTTCCCTGGAACTGGTTTTGTCTTGATCCTTTTTTTCAACATCAGAGAGGTCTTTAGCTGGGATGCACGAGCTGAGTGGTGGTTCCAGAGGAAGGTGCCCTGCTGAGGGCTCTCTGAAGACAGTGCACTTGTTCCTGTGGCCCAGCAGAGTTTTTGACAAAGGTCTGTAGACTCCTGTGGGTTTAAGAATCAAAGAAGTGCAGGATTAAGATCTGCTGACCCTAATGCTTGGTCCTGTTCTACCCATCTGTCACACACCGATCTCAGATGCACTGTTATTGACCACCCACCTGAGGTGATCTGTGGATCAGTGATAGCTTCCTGGCACTGTCTGGTCTACCAGTGCCAATATGCTCACTAATGCCACTTCTGTTTATAACATGAAGCAGCCTGACAAGCTAGCTGAAATTGGAGAGATAACTTCACTTGGTCTTTTCAGCTCTAACCTCAAAGCAGGGGACATGCCAGTTTGTGTTTTTAGCAGTGTCTTATTGAGGTAGTCGTATGAGCTTAGGTTTTCTTCCAGTTGAAGAGATGACCCTGTCTGTTTGTGCTCTGCCAGGTACATGGATCCCATCTGCAGTACAAAGGATATGAGAAAAACATCTACCTGGCCTGCTGTGAACATCTTCACCAGTGCTGCCAGGCAATAGCTAAGCCTGGCAAGGGAAATTATGCTTTTGCTGAACTGGTCCTTCACTTACTATTTGTAGCTGCAGTTTAAGTTGTGCAGAAGTTGGTTTTAATGGGTTGTGCTTGTGTCTAAGCATTTAGAGGTGAAAGAGGTGTTACTTACTAGAGTTAGAGGGGCATTATTCACCAGCATGTTCCTCATTCAGGCTTACTTTCTTTTTCCATGATAATCTGTATGGGATACACTGTTTCTTTCCTTTGTACTCTGTACCAGAAGAATGCAAGGAACAAGAACTCTGTACTGTTCTTTATGCCCTTGGTGTGGCACAAGGTGAGAGATGCTGCATGTGCTATGGGTGCAAAACCAGAAGGGTCTCTAAAAACAAGTTTTGGAGGTACTTGCATTGTGACCTGTGTGTAGGTTGTGCTTTTTCACAGTAAATGGATTTTTCTTACTACAGGTTTCTGGTAGGTATACTTTGTATTTATCTTACTTTAATTTGATTATTATTTAATATGTCTTATAACAATTAGGCTTTGAAAGTTCTATCCTAAAATTGTTCTGCTCTCAGTTAATAGTAATGCAGATGAATAGTTGGAATAAGTCTTGGCAGGCAGTTCTGTTTTGCATTCCAAGTACAGTGGTTGTGCTGTACTGTAGGACTTCAGTGGTACTTTTAGGTACTATTCCAGTTATCTGCCTGGGCCGCTGTCTGTCCAGCTGCAGATAATCTGTTCTGAAGGTTTCCTTGTGGATAGTGATACTGGATGCAATGGAAGAGTGTGGCAGTTGCTAGTCCAGCCAAGAAGTTGGGACAGGATCTGGATAAGAGATTAGAAATGCATTGTGGAAAAAACAAATGTGTTTCCTAATAAAGAAAATATTCTCCCATGGGGTTTAATCTTTTGAAGTTTTTCATCAACTTGAAGGCCTTTGGTAAAAATCTTGACTGGAATTGTGACATGTTGATGCTGTGACAGCACTGCCACTACATACTGATCAGCCTGGGTGAGCCCATCAGAAAGGGCTAACTTTAAACTCTTCTGTATTGTTGATACATGTTTTGTTTCTGGAGTAAGGTTTGCTGGTGGAGGGAGGATGTGTTAGGAAACAGGTCTTACAAACTACCATCCTCCCATCCTCCTCCAGCCCTTCCTAATGACCTTACTCCCACATCATTTATGCTTTGGGTTCCTATTCTATTTTTCCACACATGTGATGGAAAGTACTAATATGTAATTATTTTGATAGTATACTTTTGAAATAACTCTTGAAATGTGCTTTTTTTTTTTAAGCTCCTAAAAGACGCAGACCTGCGCGCTCAATATTTGATGGCTTTCGGGATTTTCAAACAGAAACCAGTAAGTGTCTACAGATCAGTAAGCTAGAGGTTCTATTTTTTTTTTTTAACACAAGTAAGATTGAAAAATAGTTTCCATTGTAAGTTAGGACAGCTTTCAGTCATTGAATGATTTTTAAATTGCCTGCTGTACAGAAAAAATTTTTTTAATAACATTATTAGGCTGTTCACTGTTGTAGTGTCAGTACTGTTTGCTGACATGTCTCTTCCACATCTGTGGTACAGTTAAGGTTGTTTATTGTTCTGGGGTGGCTGAAGGGAGAGGATGCTGGTCTGAACACTTGCCTGTGTTACATAAGTAAAATCTACAGACTATATTCTGTCTGCTTTCGTATGGCAAATATTTTCTTGATAACTCTCAAATACTTTTTCTGCTCTAGAGGGAATTGAATGGGGGAAGAATCCGACACGCATGTAGAAATTAAATTCATCCACTGAATTTTTCTTGGCTAGCCAGTGGTCATTCTGGCACTTGAATTAGATTTGAGTAGCCCCGAGGCTTCTTCCTTGGCAGCACACAAGGTTCTTGTGAATTTAATTGCTGTTTACCACTGTCTATCTGTTCACATGCAGAATCTCCAAATGACAAAGCATTGGCTGTTACTTAAGCCATTAAGTTTCATAGAATATGATTCTTGGACAGCAGAACGCCAGATATTTCACAGCTGAGTTAGAGCTGTTGTGCAGTTGTTATCGCTGATGTTGCTGGAGTGTTGGAGAGGTCTAACCATGGACCAGGTTCCCACAGTTAGGTGCTGTTGGATGCCAAACTGAAAATAAGTTTTCACATTTACTTTATTTTCCCTGACAGGTTTGGTCAGGGTTTTCCAGTAATAATGAACTTGTCAAGTACTAAAGTCACTGGCAGCTTTGTAAATGAAAATATACCATTTACAGAATCATCATACCCTTAAATTTTTTTTCATCAGCTCCACTCTTACAAGACATTTAGAAATGCACAAAATGTAAGATCATTGTGAGTGCTTATGATGAAACTTTATCATGCTTTTTGGTAAAACTTCATGGATGAATATCACTGGCTCTGAAAAAGTGGCCCTGGCCATGAAAGTCCATATTATTTCCTGGCTTCTAGGCCTGCTCCATGGGGATGCTTTTTTCTTTGTGGGGATCCAGTGTCTGCTCGAGAATGGTTTGTACGCTATGGCCCATTGACAGCTCCTTTCACTTCTAGAAGGTTTTTGGTCATGGGATAGTTATTGCCCATTTCGGCTGACTTGGTTCCATAAAATGTGTTGTATCGCTGCATTTTAGGTGAGCAATTGCTGTGATTTACCTTTATTGTATATGGTCGTGTCTATGTAAGAATATGTTCTGTATTATTTTGAGTGGAATTGATACCACTAAAAGAAGCATGCTAAAAGTGTGGTACTTGGGGATAAACAAGGCTGAAAACCCAGTCACCTGAAAGAGACAGTGGTATCTTCAGCCGATTGTGGGAAGAGATATTTAATATAAACATCCAAAGATATTTCTCCATGTAAACTAAGTCTGGTTTGTTTTTTTTTTTTTCTTTTCTGTGGGATTGCCTTACAGCCAAGAAATAGAAACACTGGAATAGAAGTATTCTGAGTAAAAGTTATGATGCTACAATAGAGCTCAGTTTCCCCTTTTAAAAGCATCATTGGGGACAAGTCATGGCTTTTTTCTTCCTCGTTTGTTTTCAAATACTGGCATATGACCCCCTCTGCTGATACTCACATTTATTAAGATGTTTTTTGAAAGTGAAATAAATGTCCAGTGCTTGAGAAGGCTAGGGCAGGCGGGGTTCTTAACATACATAGCAGCTAATCTTGTTCAGTGTGGCCTAACCTTGTGACTCTAGTGCTGGAGTTTTGTTTATGAGCATATAGTCAATAATAAATACATCTTGTGAGTATTTTGTCTAATTCAGCTTCCTTTCCTCTTGGGGCTGTGCAGTTCGACAGGAACAGGAGCTACGAAATGGAGGGGCAGTAGATAAGAAACTCACTACTCTAGCAGACCTCTTCAGGCCTCCCATTGATCTGATGCACAAAGGCAGCTTTGAAACAGTAAGTTTTGAAATTTTGGTGCAGTTCCTTATGTGATGACTGTACAGTGTGGAATCCTTGTGTTAGGCTGCTGGCATGTATGGATCCATTGTTGAATGATCAGAAAAGACTGTACAGTGATAAATATTTGATGGACTGCCTGTGGAAATGTTGATGACTTATTGAAGGACTTAAGTAATGATGGTAGACACAATGTTTACGTTTAAATGTCAGTGTGGCAAATCACACTTGGTGAAAGACTTTAGTGCACAAGAGAGGCCAGTCAGAATGGAAAAATTGCATCCCTTGAAGAATCTCTGTAGAGCACAATACAGGAAAAGCTAAAGTAAGATTCTTTTGATAGGTAAGCAAGTACTTTGCAAGGGGCAATATAGTTTGCAGCACAGCCCTGCGAAGAAGCTCAGGCGGAGTTATCTTAACACAGCTCAGTGGTTTCTGATACCTGAGCTGGTAAAAGTATTTATGGCTTTGTCATGAGGGCACAACTTTATCTTCAGTAGAGGTCTTGCTCTTTTATAAAATCACAGTGGTTGTCTTTTGCATCTGGTAGCAATGGAAAAAGTGTCCAAGAGATTGTCTGCCTGAGAAGGGGACTGTTAGATTTAAATAATTTCAGGTGTCACCTTTCCTGTCTGTGTAGGCATGAGTGGATCTAGTCATAAGTTGTTATGATATGGATCAGTGGCTTTTAAGTAATGATTAGAGAATATGCAAATTTTTTATTTATTTATTTATTTGGAGTCCATAATTTCTAGATATTCTTCAGAAGTTGCAGTTACTACTGAACTTCCACCTGGTCATCTTTAAGTAGCTGAGATTATTGTTAATTATATGATGATTTCATGAGAATGCAAACTATTTATCAAGTGGTGCAATACAGGTGCAGCAAACAGTGCTGGAGATCTGACTGCATGAGCTGAACAAAAATATTATTTACATTCTTTTCACATTTGCCTCTACTCCTGTGCACAAATACTAGAGCACTGCTGGAGAATTTTTGGAGACATGATGTGTGCCTTTATCGGGTCTCCAGCTCTCATCCTGTTGGCCTCATCTCTCTTTTTATGCTTCCCAAATCACCAGGGATCAGTTGGCTTGTTACTAATTCCTGTATTCTGACAGTGCCCTCCATATGTTTAATCTTCTAACAAAATTCCGGGTTTGAAAGGATGCTGACAGAGAATAGCTGTGTCTGCCTCAGCAAGTAATTTGGTGCAATGGAAACAGATGAGCAGACTGAAGTAGTTGGTGCTGAAGCATCTCTGCCCTTTGATACGTGGTTCAGGGTTTACTTCAAACCAGGTTGTGTCAGGTCCTCCAGCTGATGATACCTACTGGGCCTGTGGTTCAGAGCTGTTTGTGAACCCAGCGAATGCATGGTTAAAGGCAACAGTAAAAGGAATTTACATGAAAACAGCCAGTGCTGCTCCAGACTAGAACATATGCACAGACAGTCAGTGAGTGTCCTTTGACCTCTGCTGTGGAATTCGAGGTGTGTGCTAGTCTTTCTTCATGTCTTGCTGAAAACATATCAAGACTTTAGCAATGTTGATTGTGGCATCTGCCACAGTCAGGAGTAGTTTCAAAGGGTGAAATAGCTGGTTAATAGATTTGATTGTCCTAAGGTCTCTGTATTCTTACTCAGTCTTGTAAATTAAAAAAAAAGAAAAAGGGGGAGGGGGGCTTGTACATACACACCCTGTCCTGTTCTTTGCAGTAACTCGAATTTAAAGACATGTACACTTTCTGGTATTGGTATTCACTTTTTGGTGTTCTTGTACAGATCCTTGTCACATGGGATACCCTTCATTTCAAACCAATGCTCCTCAACTTCATTGCAATAAAAATCTTCAGCTTCTCAATTTGTTGACTGTTACCCCTTCCATTTTACCTTTTATGACTGTAGACTGCTGTACTGCTTCAGCCTGGGACAATTCAGGCCTCCTGTGAATCCAGTGACCAGAGACTCAAAATTCATCTCTAGCAAGCTGCTGTTAGCTTCTTCCTTCTCTGTATGCTTAGATAAACATATATAAGCTATGTAATAAATCAGAGATGTTTATTCTGTTCCAAAGTACCAAAGATTAAATGCTGTCATTTTGATGCTCTTGTAGTTTGCTGTTAATCTAAGTGGGGTTTTCTTACTATTATTAGTGTGTGGTGTATTCTATCCAGTGGAAGGGTGTGCAAGAACATTCTGCCAGTGTCGTGCCATGTGCAGTTATCATAGAATCATTTAGGATTTTATTCAGACTTAGCAAGAATGGTGGCATCTGGTCTTCCTAAGGTTTTCATGTATCTTTGTTGCTCATCTTTTGTTGCTCCTCTTTGGGTACTGTAAGGTTGATTTTGATAGTAAATATAGTTATCTTTGGTATTCCCCAAGAAAGCTCATTTTTCTTCATTTAGAAAGAAACTTTGTTATCAGTAAGGTGCAAAATGTTGCCATTTCATTTTAACTCAGTAATACTAGCTTTTAAGAGTAGGTGAGAATTAACTTTTATTAGAAATTTAAGTGTTGAATGAAAATGATTTTTTTGTTTACTTGCTATTTGTGAAAAAGCAGTGTTCTTCACACACAGAACAACTTATGATCACCAAACTTGTAAAGTTAAGTGTGTGATTAACTAAATTACACCATAGAAATGTGGTGAAAAAGACTTGATACAGAAAATCTGTAAAAGGCTTTCTTCTAATCCTGCAGGCTTTTGGAACATGGGCCACTAGATGTTAGTTACCTAGTGACTGGTGGAATGGGGCTATATAAACCAGAGGCAAACAACTGATAGGCCAGCAAGATGTTGACCTGAACTGCCTTTTTTTTCCTAGTAGAAAGTTTCAGAAAAACTTTCAGAGCTTAAATACACAGTGTCACTAAAAAGTCTGTATTTGAGTAGTGTTGTGTGGTTATATGATTAGGCTATTGTCAGTTAAGATTGCACAAGGGATTTCTAACTGTCGTTCCCTAACTAGTATTGAGCTTCAATGTGTATCTTCTTAATGCAGAATCTGCTAGGAATAAATCACTAGAGTGTAATAAATAAATAAATGGCACACCAAACATGCTTTGTAAAGAACAGTATGGTTTTGTTCTAATCTCAAAGACAGCTTTCAAGAATTGCAGGTGTTCATGCATATGATGTAAGATATGATTTAATCTGTGGGGGGTACACACCAAAGTGACGTAGTTTACATTTCTTGTTTAGGGAGGAGATAGTTCTGGCACATGCAATTTTGTACTTAACACTCATTTGGATTTCAGTACGTCTGTGAAGTGACTGTATGTAATGTTGTGGAGTTTTGAGTCTGTCTGTATGAAGTTTCTTCATTTTACAAGTTAAACGTTTTCTAGCTGCTCCCTGCTTTACAGCTAATAGTGATTTTTTTTCCTTTGTATGTAGCAAGCAGCAATAGTTTGGAAGCTAACCTAGTCATTGTACTCAAATGGCGCAATTATCTTTGCGTAAGGTGCTTCTAGACTGGCCCTTTGCCTAAGCATAGCCTGCAGATGCACCTTTGGCACAGGAATGGCTGGTTGATGAAAGGATGTATGCCCTGGCCCAGGCAAGAAATGTTAAGTGTAGCACAGATAGGATATTTCTTGTTAGATAATCTCATGCTCTGATTTTGTCAGCTGTTGTCTTCCAAACTGAATCATGCTTGATTATTAGATGTCCAGAATGTCACAAGATGCTGGCTCCACTTCCTTGTTTCTCTCTGCTGACTTAAGGAGCAGTGCATTTCAACAAAGCAGAGCCAGAAAGAACCACCACAACATTTATAAACCATATATGGTTCAGAAAAGTCAAATGAGAGGAAAACATGTTATTTTTAGTAGTGCAAGAGCTAGAGGTTATCTGGTGAGATCCAGTACTGAGTGTAAAACAAGACTTCTTTCACATTGTTGTCTAACCAGATTGATGGTTTGTTGCTATAAGTTGTCATAGTGATTAAAAAGGTGAATGGGTAGAAGGGGTAAAGGTAAACTTAGGACCAATTGGTTTTGTTTTGGGTTTGCATCTGGCCTGTTGTGTCTGAGATCCACTACCTCTGTCTTTGAAAGTTCCTACTCTGCTGATTGCTGAAAGCTTGAGCAGACATGCTTGCAAAGAGTGGTTATTCTGTACTTACCCTGTCTATGTGCTCTTTAAGTGCCTGGCGTGGACCTTTATACCTCGAAGGAGGGGGAGACATGGAGGGCAGTTGGTATTGGAAACAGTGACTCTAAAGCCATCTGACATAGCTTTCGGGATATGCAAACCAGCTCTTGAGCCTTCCTTTGTTCTTTTGTCACTTATCAAAATAACCCACCAATATAATCTCCAAACCCACAGCATTTCTTCCCCCCCACACTCTTCTCCTTCCACCCACCTCCACCCCCTCAGAAAAACACCAGTAGCTGTGCAAGAGCAGAGTTGTGTGTGTGTGTGAGATGGTAGCAATTTGTGTCCTTTTAAATGTTAAATGTGAAGCCCATTGTTTTTAGAAGGAAGTTAAAAGTAGCTTCAAAAGCTATACCTGCTCTACAGGTGAAAACTCATCTTTGCAAATGTTCTGTGTGGAATTTCCTGCTTGCATCCTTTCAAGGACCTTAGCTGGATGGAAGAGAGGTAGAGCCAGGTTTTCACTAATATTGAAAAATATACAAAGTGTAGAAGAGTGAGATGCATTTTCCAGCTTTCTAGTTACATATTTTTAATCCAATGTGGATTACATTAGAACACAGGACTAAGGCAATCCAATTGACTCAGATAGCATAAGGATTTTTGTTCCCTTTAAACTTGGGGAGTACCTCTAGGCCTCATCCTAAACTGATTTCCTAAAATTAGTTCTCAAAGTCCACAGGTAGTGCAAAACAAGTCTTTTAAATAAAAGCATAATGACTGTATTTAAGACCCTTACCAGTTACATAGGTGTCACCTGCCCCACTTTTCTCTCCTGGTGACCAAATACTGGATTCTGACACTGTAATATTAGTGGTAAGTAGTTAGCGTGAGGTCCCTTGTGAGAACAGGAGGACTATTCCATGCTTCTGCATTCATTTTTTTCCTTTGAATAAAATAAAAATTGGCTGAGATTCTTCACTTCGTGAAGCTAAGTGTGTGGGGTTCACGTGTCTGTCTATCACACATTAGATAGGCTGACTGTTTGAAAGTGCACTGGCTAAAATCCATTTTAAAAGTAAAAACTTCAGTTTGGGGAACAAAATATTGCCCAAAACAGCAAAATCTTGCATAACATCCTAATTCCTTGAATTTGCTGTTAAGTGCATTACCAGCAGGATGGTGAACACACTTATAAATAAATTCTTTTTTTTTTTTTTTTTTTAAAAAAGAAGGGAAGTTCATATGCTAGTTCCAGTCTTTCCAGGTGGTAAGAGCATTCCTGCTGTTGATATAGCCCTCTTTTTTTCAACAGGTATGACAGTTCAGCGATCAGAATTACATTCTTGATCAAACTCCTACCATTAACTTGCAACCAAGCAATCAGACAATGCCAGCTTTGTGACTCAAACCAGTAAGATTTCTTCCTGCGCCTTCCTGTCTTCCTCCCCACTTGCAGTCTGGATAAAGAGCATCAAAAAAGGATGCCTAATTCGGCAGTTGCACAGTAATAGAGTAACTCAAAACTTGGAGAGAAAAGAGAAAACATGCAGAGAGGGGGTCCTGTTGAATTAATGCAAGTGCTCTGTCAATTATGCGACCTATTTAAGTAGAAGATGATCCACAGGTTTATCTTTAGAATGAGCAGGTCTTTCTGTTGTTGTCAGATCAGTGTGATTGACTACACTCTTTCCCAAACAAATACTTTATTCAGCATCCCTGTGTCACCCCCAAGTTGCTTTTCCCACTCTGTGCTTGGCTTGTTGAAATCCAGCAGCTCTGTTCATCGATGTGATTCTGTAATTCAACCAGTCTCATTTAAAGCAGGTCTTTCAGCCCTGCCTTCTGTTTTGTGGATGCCTTTTCACTAGCACTGTCCATCTTTCTCACTGTGAAGGGGTTTTGGTGAAAAATCTGACAGTGTTAGAAGCCATCACTGATCATTGCTGGCATTGGTTATGTCTGGCTCTTCAGTTTTATGTAATGAAGCTCTTCTCTCTGCTTACAGGCCAAGGAATGTGGTCAGATGCAGAACAAATGGCTTATGATAAACATTCAGAATGTGCAAGATTTTGCGTGTCAGTGTCTCAACCGCGATGTCTGGAGTAATGAGGCTGTGAAGAACATAATCCGGGAACATTTCATTTTTTGGCAGGTGAGAAATTTAATGGGGCTGTGCAGGTAACTTCGTGTCCTGGTAGGTGGGGCAGTGGAAAAAAAGGGACTTCTTCGAATAAAATGGTACTGTTGCAGTTCTCTTGGTGAACTTGCAGAAAAGATGCAGTAGTTCTTGGAGATGTAGTTTATGGAGGTAGGTGTAGTTTGTGGATATGCATTTGAATGCATAAACTGCCTTTCACTTGTGCACTCCAGATGTTACCATGTAGCTTCTAATACATGGAGCATTAGAGGCACCTTTTCAGCTTATCAGGGTTACTGAGAACTGTATGTACCATTTGTAGGGTATACGGTAAAATAGAGGAAAACTTTGTACATTTTCAGGATACAGTTTGTTTGTGTTCCGTCTCCACCCAGTAATTTGCTGCCAACGTGGTATTTTGTAGGTATACCATGACAGTGAGGAAGGACAGAGGTACATACAGTTTTATAAATTAGCAGACTTCCCTTACGTCTCCATCCTGGATCCCAGGACAGGTAAGATAAGTGGCGGTTACCTGCAGTTCATACATCCTGTGAGAAGGACTGGCAGTTGTAGGCTAGAATGCCATCTTTCGCAGTATGTGTTACATTCAGCTGAAGAATCTCAGTTACATTGTTTTGCTCTCTGAGAGACCTTGTTGTCCCTGAAGAAGTGAAGCGGTATGTTTTGGAGGAACTAAGGGAATAGAACTCCCAAGGCTTGCTGAAATTTTATGTATTTGGTTATCTAACTTGGTATAGCTTAACGAGTACTTTGAAAATAGTACCACCTGGTGGTAAAACTCAGAATTTTTTTTTTTTAAATGTCCTCTTGAAAGCTACTTGACATTTGTAAACATTACATCAATCTTCTTCGTGCTCCTTGCACAGTAACTTTGTGAGACTCAGCGATGACTTATTAAATTGCATCTTAATTTTGAAATACCATTTTGGCTTTGGGTTTGTTGTTTGTTTTGGTTTGTTTTTTTTTTTTACCTGAACAATCAAACTTCTACCTCCCCCTCCAGCTCTTCTCAAATTGTTACTTTCTCTTTTGTATCCCAACACCCTTTCTTCTTTTAGCATCATATGATGCAGCTATATTAATGGTCTGGTTGTCTCCTTCTCAGGACTGAAGTAATAGTGTCTGTAATCAGAGCTGAGATTTCTTGCTATTTGACTTAAACCACCCAAAAACTTTTTTCTTTTTTTTTTTTTTTTTTGAGTTAGGATACTCTTCTTAGCACTTTACTTATGGAAACAAATGCTGTTTGCCAAGGTGTAGAATCAAAGCAGGCAAGAATGTAGAAATGCTTCTTCATAAACTTAGTGGTTTGGCTTTTTTTTCGTTTTGAAGCCTAATTCACCATTCTGTGCACATGTTCCCATAGATAAAAAGAAAACAGAAATCAACAGGGTCTGTATTTATGTCTGTCCATGAGTGAAACCTTTTCAAGGGAGTGGAAGGAGGAAGCTTCATAATTATCAGGTGGTAGCCAGTAGGAAGCTGCAGTTCCACAAATAAGGACTCTTGCAGAGTGCAGGCGCAGCAGTGAACTGGTGTGTTTTGGTGTGTTTGACCACTAAGCTGCAGTCTTTTTCTGAAGTTATGTTTCATGACACCTTTCATTCCCTAGGCCAGAAACTAGTGGAGTGGCACCAGCTAGACGTGACTTCTTTCTTGGACCAAGTGACTGGGTTCCTGAGTGAGCATGGACAGCTGGATGGCCATTCTACTAGCCCTCCCCAAAAATGCTCTCGTTCAGTAAGTATGAGGCGCTCTCTAGGAGGACTGGAGAAACCCGAAAGAACATGCTAGCCTGTCTTTATTCAACTGTACTGATTTCCCATTCAGTAGTATAAACAGACTTAATGAGATAGCGCAAGAGTATGCAAAAAATGGTGCGCTGGGGAATGCCTTTTCCTGTGATAACTATTTTTGTTGTGCAGTTTATGCTTTCGGCATTTATTTTGGATTTAGCAGTCACACAATTGTGCATGTGTGGAAGGAAAATATATTACTCCATGTGAAACTCCAAGGAGAAATCATTCAGTAGTCATAGCATGACTAGCTTTCCATGCTGTTTGTTCCTGATGTTTTAGTAGCTTCTCTTTGGAGGACTGATGTCCAGTACGTATTTAAAAGCCATTTTTATGTATTTGTGTTATGTCTGTATTCAACAGGAGAGTCTCATTGATGCCAGTGAGGACAGCCAGTTGGAAGCTGCTATCAGAGCCTCGTTACAGGAGACGCATTTTGATTCCTCACAGGCCAAGCAGGAGAGTCGGTCAGATGAGGAGTCAGAGTCGGAGCTTTTTTCTGGAAGCGAAGAGTTTATTTCGGTTTGTGGATCTGAGGAGGAGGAAGAATCAGAGAATCCTGCCAAGTTGAGGAAGTCTCCGCATAAGGACTTGGGGTATAAAAAAGAGGAGAGCCGGAGGCCTCAACCTGAGCCCCCTGCAAGGACTGAGCCTGGGACAACATCAAATCACAGAGTACTGCCCTGCATTGATGCAGAGATACTGGAGGAGTCAACTGACAAGCCTGAGAGTACATTTCAGGGCCTAGATGTGAATGGTAAGTTGCCTTTTTTTTTTTTTTTTTATAGTGACTTGTGTTCCGTTTTTTTCTCCTGAAAATCTTTATACGCTGACAGTACGGTTTCATCTGTTGTTTTGAAAAGCTAAATCTTTTCTTCTGTCTTACTCCCTCCTTGACACCAGATGTTTGAGCGATTCACCTTGCCAGCAGCACCACTTTGGCATAGTGACGCTGCAAACTGCAGTTGCGTTAGTCACTGAGCTCAAGTTTATTAGTTTGAGACTTTGTCCTCAGATAAAATACACGTTGGTGTAATGCAGGTGCATATGACAGACCTTCTACCAGTATGGTAGAGGGAAGCAGAATAACATCAGCCCCACCTCCTGCTCAGTTAGCTTGGCTGCCTTGACAGTCTGGACTGAGTTTTAGTAATGCAACTTTGGCTAATACAAACAAGTCCCCTGAGTCTCTGTTCCTCCCTGTGGTGCCTGAGCTGGGATGCAGCAGAGTGAGGTGGTCTCAAAGGCAGAGGTAGCACAGTGTGCTTTTCTCTGGGAACACCGACCAGTTTCAGTCACTACTATTAACTCTTGAAAGAGTCCTGAGTGTGATGTGTATATTTTAAATGCATGTGGTAGAAGTATATCTTCATAGACTGGAACCTTGTATTTGTCTCCAGTCCCTAAGCCTGCTAAGCTGCGCAGTAAAGTGTGCCACCTAAAATCTATGGACGAGCTCAATTCACCTGCCTTGTTTTTTAACTTGTAGTAACTTCCTTTATGCTAGGACCAAAGGCACAGCTGATGCTAAGGTATCCAGATGGAAAGAGGGAACAAATTTCACTGCCTGAACAAGCTAAACTTCTGGTGAGTGGAGTTAATCGGAATCCTTGTTTGAGTATAGGAGAGCTGAAACTGGAGAATTTCTTTTCCTGTGATGGCACTATTGAAATCGGTTCTAGTGAAAGTGGTATATCCAGGGAGTGCTTGCACTGTCATTCTGCTGTGTTTCTTCCGTGTCATTCCTCTCTTCTGATCAACAGACTCTGCTGGCTCTGTATGTTTCCATTGCTGCTTAGGTTGTGGGTACACTCCAGGGTCTTCCTTAGTCCCAAGCCTGCTAGTTTCTTTTCTAAAATGACTCTAAATGGCTTTTGCATTAATCATTAAATTACCATAAAATACTCTCAGCTCACTTGTTTGTGGGGTGGTTTTTTGTTGTTTTTTTTCTAAATTAAAAGTTCAGTCGTTGCCCATGGTCACACAATGGTAAAATCAAAGGCAAAACTCTTCATTCTTGTTCTCCATCTCTTTCATTGTACTTCCACACTCCCTTCTGGATGTGGATGACGGAGCAGACTTTGGAGGAAGTTCTCCCAAAACAAATTTATTATAATATTTAATTACTATGCTTCAGGTGTGTGTCTCAGCTGTGCTTTGGGCTTGTTTACCGTGGAGAAGTTGATGTGGATGGCATTTCCATCAAAATTTTGGAGGTGCTTATCTGGAAGCAGTGTGTTAAGAGGTCACTGTATTCCTGTTAGCCATGAGTTTTCATGACATGGTGGCCAGTTAAAGCTCACTTTAATGTAATCAACCTAAAATCTCTGCATTGAACTGTTAGGGAAGGCAAAAGCACATCTCTTCAGAGGATCTTGTGCAGATTTAGGAGAAAAGTGTCACATCTTTTACAGAAGTTGAGACTATAACCTAGTCTGCAGCACTCTAGAAATGTACAGTGTCTCAAGCTCATATTCTCATCCTTAACTCTTTTGCTTGAAAATAAAAGATTTTTAAAAAGTTGCTTTTGTTACACTGTCAGCTCTCAAAACCAAGCGTAAGCAGGTAGGATGTAGACTGCCTACAGTGCTACATGTGGAGTCTTGGGGCTGAAATATAAAGACTGAGGAACACTGGCAGAGCATTGCTCTTACTGTAGGAACCAGCTTTACTTTCAGACCTTCATTCTTGTTTTGTTGTAGCAGTCATTGGTGTATAGTCTTTTTCAAAGTACTCTATTATATCTTAACTGCTTTTTGAAAAAAGTCTATTAAAGTTGCATGTATTATTAAACATGTAGCACTTCTGAATACTTAACTAATTTATTTAGGTGGTACATAAGTGTAATATTGATATATTCCTGATAATCCTGACTTCTGGTTTGACTCCTTTTATGGACTGCGGTAGTTAAAGGAAGTTAATCTCAGCATGTGATTTACTTTGCTGCTGTCTGCTTTAGAGTCAGCAGAGGAATTTAGGTGAGTCAAGGTTTGTGGGTAAAGATGTCTTTTTATTGCAGAGCTGAACAGGCAGCTTTTGTGCTCACATCATGTGATCTTTTAAAGCTATTTCAGTCAGATCAAGATTGAGTCTCAGATGTTTCTTTGTGAGCATCATTTCCATGCTGATTTTTTTTTTTTTTTAGCCCTTAGTTGCTCCCATTTTAAAGCTGTCCAGAACTATAAAAAGAAATTGTTTAAGGAGACAGTTGCACTTTAGAAGTTTTAACTGATGATATGAAGTTGTTCTCCCACCAACACTGACCATTTTGAAAAACTTTTTTTTTAAATTATTGTATTGTTATCGATCAAGAGTGTGTTCTTTACACACTGTTATCTCCAGGATGTGCTTTTGCCTCCAATATTACCGTAATACCTTTTTCCCCCAGGCAAAAAAAAAAAGGCAACACTGCCTTTTTATAGAAGCAATTAGTAGGCTGACTTCACTCTGTTCAGCAGCTCAGCCCTTCGCACCGCTGACTGATTGCCTGAATAACTTTTGTTGTCTACCAAGTGTTATAAGGTGTGCAGGAAAGGGTGGCCTTTAAACGGGACAGTTGCCTGAAAAGGAAGTCAAACCCACTTACTTGCATTCCACATCAGACACAGGCATTGTAATCTGCAAAGCCAGTTGGAGAACAGTACAGATAAAAGAGGAGGTTGGGGCAACACTCTCCTCATGCCAAAGGTTTGTGTGTGGATTTTGATGACTTCAGAAGAAATCTCCATGCAGGTACTTCCCTGGCTGTTCTGCAGTCATCAAATCTTGGAAAGGTCCAGGGTGAAAAGGATCCCTGGAGATCATCTGGTCTAACCCTCTGTTGAAAAGCAGGGCTGTAGATGAGGTTATCCAGGGCCCTCTCACGCTGAGTCTAGAATACTTCCAGCAAGGGACATTCTACCAGTTCTCTGGGCAACTTACTCCAAAGTTTAATTTCTCTCATGGTAAAGAATTCCTTCCTTATACACAGATTAAATTTCCCCTGGAGCAACTTGTGTGGTTGTCTCTTGTCACCGTGCGTCTTTGTGAAAGAAATGCCTTTATCTTCTTTGTATTGGAACACTGTGATGGTATTGCCACCGAGCCTTTTCCTTTCTAGCTGAACAAAGCCAAGTCCTTCAACCTTCATTCATGTACCAAGGCATGTCCTATACTCTAGTTGTTTCGATGCCCTCCACTGGCTCCTCTCCAGTTTTTCCTTGTCCCTCTTGAATGTGTAGAGAACAAAACTGAACACAGTATTCCAAGTATGGCCAAGAAGAGTGGCGTAATCGTATGCCTTGATCTGCTGGCATTATGCTTGTTGATGCAGCTCAGGTTTCCTGTCTGCAGTGTACCCTTGCAGCAGTGACACATTTGAGCTTTCTTGATGAGTTTTGACAGTCTCTCCGTGACACCCTGTATCTGGGCTCTAGGCAAGTAGCAGGCTTCCAAGACTCAGAGTTAGGTTGGCAGTTGGGTGCCTCAGTCCCCTGCAGGAGGAGTCCCCTCCACCAGCACGCACTGCTTCTCCCTGCTGGTTTTGACATGCTGAGGTGGACCAGTGCATCCAGTTGTGTCTTCCAGTGGAACTTGTTTGTCCTCCCCATTTATTGTCAAGATTTCATATCATTTTTTCAACTGATTTCCACTTCCCCCTCTCCCCTGCCCCCCGCGCCCCAAATGAGAGGAGAGCTGTTGTTTTGCTGCCACAGGTCTTCAGGGTGCCTTATCTTGCAAGTTGCTGTCCTCCCAGCATTAGTGTCTTGCTTCTGGTCATCCCATTCTGTCTGCACCACAAGGCCTCAGTTCCTGCCCTTGCAGTGTTGCTGCCAGCATCCTGCTGCTTTCCTGCTCATCTTCCCTGATGCAGCAGAACAAGCTGACCTCTTCCTGCAGCTCGTTGACCTCATGCACCATCTGCATTGATGCCTCTGAAACGTTAGGAAGAATGCTGCTGTTGTGGGAGGCCATATCCTGCGTCATGTCAGCACCATATGATCGACAGCTTTCCTACCAGAACGCAAACATTAAAATGAGCAGCCATCCAAGTGATCTCCCGAACACCTTGTCTGTGAGCTGCAGCAGTAACTGCCAAGTGCTTGTTTGCAACCACTTTTTTCTGTGTGCTGTGTTGCTGTGGTCCCAAAGCAGCAGCTAAATAGCGAAGGGAAGCTAGTGCAATAATTAGTACTAGTGGAAGCTTAATACTGCTAGCTTACTTCCTTACACTTAATTTACTGGCATAAGTTGCCCACCAAAACTATGTGAACAGTATTGTTGGGACCCCCTTATTTTTTCATAGTTTCTGTTTTATTACATACTGATTTATCTTTTTTCCCCTCTTTAAAAAGCTACTGTTGCTGTATCCCCTACTGTTCTGCCAACCTCCATTTCTCTATCCCTGTCTATTCATGCTTTACGCTCATCTGCTGTGTTTCCTGATGAACTTGGGAAATCTCTCTCATCATAGCATGGACATTAGCTTTTCCTGATAGGTCTGGTTGTTGGGTTGTGAGGCTGATAGCCCTTGATCCCAATGCCCTCTGTATCCTGCCCCAATTGCTTTTGTAGGCAGAGAAGTCAGTGAATTGGAAAGAGCTTTAAAAAACAAAACCACCCCAAAACCTCATGTTTCTTGAAGGCAAGGGGGGGGTGGGGGGAGTAAAAATACTGCATTTATTTTTGTCAATGCTACACCACAAAAATGCTTCTTTGGTGGCTTTTAGGTTTAGTGTAAGGGTAATGTCTGATAAACAAGTGAGGGGGCTTCTATTTTTTTTTTTTAATCTTAGTTTACTGTGACTTGAATGTGTGATGTGGAATTCAGCTTGCTTGAATTAATGTACTATTATGTATGTCTTCCTTCTGTTGAAAGAATCAGTTAGGTAAGGGATCACTTGGTAATTAGTTTTTATGATCATTCATACCATGTGGGCCAGATTAGATATTAAAGAGGGTTTATACTATATGCAAAACTTCAAAATTTCCTTTGTGATTACAAACTTCCTTTTTTAAAGGAAAATGGGATTATTTTTTTACATTCTTTTGTGTTGTTTTGAATTATATGACACTTCTTTGCCTTTCTTTCTCTCCAGGCTCTTGTGAAACATGTCCAGTCAAAAGGATACCCCAATGAACGCTTTGAACTTCTCACCAACTTCCCTCGAAGGAAACTCTCCCATCTGGACTATGAGATCACATTACAGGAGGCAGGCCTGTGTCCTCAAGAGACTGTGTTTGTGCAGGAAAGGAATTAGCACGGTGGCCTGAGTTCTCCCAGCCTTCCTCCCCTCTCCTCTTTGCCTGGGACACCAATTCATTAAATATGCAGTTGAGGGTCATAGGATTGCAGTGCTGAAATCAGGCAGGCAGCTGGCTGGCCCTTCTCTTTCTTCTTCCCTTCTCCTGCTCTAGTGACCAAACGAGAGCGTTCAGAGTTTTATTTTCTTCCTCAGCTTGGGCCCTGCAGAGAGCATTAGGAAGAACATCTTTCCATTGTTTTCATGGAATAAAGTAAAACGATGATCTGTGTATCCAGTATGCTGGGGCTTGGAGTGGCCATAATATACATACCCTTCTCGCTGCTATTCTTAAATCTGTTTTGTTTAATTTATTTTTGAAAATAGTGTGTGATAAGGCACTGTGTCATCTGTCTATAAGGAGAGAGTGTAATCTTCAGTACAGTCTTTCCTTTGTTTTGATTCTCTCCACGAAAGGTCTCCATTAACCTTACAGCCTTCTCAAGGGTTTGCTTATCTAGCGCTCTGCAAAAACTTGGTTTTGGGGAAGGAGTTGGGTTAAGCTGTGGTGAGATACTCTGCCCCCATCTAATTTCAAGGTTTCTAGATTGCATGCATGTTTTCCTTCTGCTTTAAATGCTGCCAGTGGACATAGCAAAAAAACCAACCAACCAACAAAAAAACCCCAACTATATTCTATATGGGATTGACTGCTTGGCCCAGAGGAAAAGCTGCATGTCCACTGTTAGAGCAGAACTGATTCCTTGGTAGAAGTAGGTGGGGGTTCCATTTGTTCTCTTCCCAGCATCCCCTAAATGTCTCTTTTTTACTTACTCTCAGGATTTTGCAAATGATAGAAAGTGGACAAGATACTGTAAAGAACTTGGACTCTCTGGAAAACACCTGTCATAAAAACTTGACAGTTAGTTGGCTTTTTGCTTTGCATGGTGTTTTGTTTTGTTTTCCCCAGGAGTGACTAGCTTTGCAGGGGTTTTAGAGCACTGACTGCAAGTGAGCAGGACAGCAAGTCCTAGGCAGGTTTTCTTTCATTAATTAAAAACATACACAGCCTTGTCAAACTGTGGAATGAATTAATGCTTTATAAAAGACTTCACAGCCTGGTGGCTTGAATGCTCTAGGCTGCTTTTTATGCTCTTCATCTACATTCACTTACCTCTAAATCTGGAAGGCTGTATGGAAAGCTGCTGCTTTATTTAGGCTTTCTTTTCAGCTCTGGAAGCTGGCACCAGAAGTCATGCAGGCATATCCTGTGTGTACACTGGGCTGCGCAGTGCCCTGTTTTTCCAGTGTCTTCTCATAGACATTGAGCTGTTGATCAGTTAGTGTTACAATAGGTATTACAGTGGGATAAAAGTTAACAAACACAGCCATCCTCAAGATGGATGTCGAATCTGTGTATTTACAACTAAGAACTCAAGTTAGTGTGCTCTTCATCAGTGAGGAAGAAGGCATGCGAGACCTACCATAACTGCTAACTTTTTCTGCAGCTGTCAGATGATTATACTTGTTAAAGAAAAAGACTTTAGTGGTCAGAAATTTACCATAGACTAAAACTTTTCAAGATATTTGCCTTTAATTTCATACTAGCCTGCATACTTTGGAGTCTTTAAGGAAATCACAGAAAATGTCTTGCATTCTCCATGATAATATTAGCTCACGCCTATCTTCTGCTCATAACTGAGGTTTTATGTGTAATCATACAATTGCATAAATTGATTTCCCTTCTACACAAGAGCTATGTTGCATTCTACTGCAAGATGCAGTATCCGGAAAGCGAAAGCTGATCACGGTTTCCTGGTCAATGGTTCATGTGACATCAGATGGCATTTTTAGTTTGTAAAGAGACCCTGGCATGGAGGCTGCTTCCCAGCATTGGAAAGTGAATTGCAAGGCCAGCAGAGGAGGAGGGGATGTTCGTGTTTGGCCTGTGAAGCAGCAGTGGCACCTGTAGACTGAAGGATCCTTTGTGTTACTAGGATATCCAAATTCATAACTCAGAGTTGGTCGTACGAGAGAGCAGGACAGAAGCAAACCCTTTCCGTGTAGATCTAATGCTGCCCTAAGTAGCTTCAGCTGTCTAGTTGAAATAACTCACTCTGATCTTTGTTGCCTTGAAACTCATTACCTCTTCTGTGGTTAGCCACAGGAAAATTAAGGCAGGCTGCCAACAGGATGCAGTACCCAACACATGTATAGATACTCCTTTTGTGTCCCTCAAGCAGGCTGGGGTTGGGAGCATGTTGGCCTTTCCTGCTCTCCTGCCAGTGTAAGGCAGGGAGCCTTTGTGGTTCTGCTGATTCCTCGATTCCTCTTTTGAGTTGTTGCAGGCTGGCTGTGTTTGCTGGTGGAGGGCCAACTCACTTTGCACAGGCTTGGGTTTGTATCTGCTCTGGGAACATTGTTTGCATCAACTTTTCTAGCAGTTAAGTTATACATAGAAAATTGACTCTGCCTTTTCAGTCCTAGGTCTGTTTTATTGGTAGCTTCTCTTGTTTCCCCCTGCCCCTCCCCTGTGGTACTAATGTACATGGGGCTAGGCTGTGATATGTTGAAGCATTCTGATACAAAATAACTAACAGCTGTATCAGCAGTGGGGAAGAGGGGAAACCACACTGCGGACAAGAGCTGAACTTCTTCCATCGGTTCTGTTGCTGGAGAGATTGTGCACTGTGTGGTCCCCTACTGTGAACCTTCCCTTCTTACCCTCTTTTTCAGAGCTAAGCGTGCGTGCTGCAGGGCAGCGGGCAGCTGACAATTCCTTTCTTCTCTGCTCAGCTGTAAGAAAAGCAGTAACCTTATGCTCATCATCTTGCTATCAAAAACAAACAGGGAGCCCTAGGTTAGTTAGCTTTTCATTGCTTTTGTTATGTTCAGTAACTTCTCTCGCAAGGAAGCAATTGTTGGACTTGGCTGCTGCAAGTTTATTTTTAAACCATCAAGAAACATGCCTCTCGAGCACAGTAAATGGTTTTGCCTGCTGGTGTAGTAGGACCAGGAGTGCTTATGCTCTCACTTAATTTTTTTTTTTTGAGGTTTTACTTAGAAAAATATTAATCCCCTAATGGGGAAAGAAGAATGTAAAATTGAAAATTTACATTGAAAATGGGATTTTATTTCTGTCTTGCAGTTCCTAGTAGTTTATTCTGTTCCAAAAAGTTAGGAGCTTGTTTGTTTTGGTTTTTTTTTCTGGCACTATGTGTTTTTTCTTTCAGTTTTCTTTTGCTTTGGTCTGTGAGCAGGAGGCAGAGAAAAAAAGTTTTTAAGAAATATGTGTCCTCGCATGTGGCTTCTCTCTCCCTTCATTCCTCTCCCCTCTATCCCCCTTCTTCCCAACCCAAATAAAAACAGTGCTGCAGCACACACATCAATCAGCTGTGCAGTGGTGGCTGAAAGCTGTTAAGCACCAACCAGGATACGTCATTCATGTTGTTCCTCCAAACTCTGAAGGCTTTGTGTTTTGGTGGCCTGAGGAACGTGGCTGAAAACATTAACCAAGTTATGCCTGCAACAGCTTGTAGCAGTGAAAGTGTAAAGTAGTTGGGCTCTATTTATAAAAAGCCTTTGTCACCATTGCTTCTAGATGTTAAATCTGAAGTTCAAGTTGCTTTTCACAAGGTTGGAAAAAAATGCCTTAATTCTCTATTTGCAAAATAAGATGTTGAAATATGAAGGACAAAGAAAAAAAAAAAATCCTTCAAAGGCTGTGGTTTGTGGCTTCATATGAGTGTTGCTTGGCCATAATTTGTGTGTTGTGTTGCAAGGACTGACATGAGTTTGGAGGAGCAGAAGTGCATGTAGACAGTGGAAGTCTCTGAGAAGAGAATTAAACAGAGCTAACGTGTTTCAAGCTGTAGCTTCTTGCTGCTTGTGGAGAAGTTTCCTTTGCATGTGCTTTTCATCTAACAATGCTTTGTTTTGACATTTAATGTCTAATTGCAGCTAATAGTCACAGTCACAACCCGTATTCAGAAACAGAAGGCAAAACGAGCACTGGCTTTTCCTGCCAGGTGCTGTTGATACATCTACTGTTGTCTTGCTGCTTGTGATCCTTCAGAGGCCCAGAGAAGGATTTCAGGTCTTCCTGATGATACATGCTCTTAAGTCAAGCTGATTGACCAGCTTCAACCTCACAGCATTCCCTACTGACATAAAAAGGGCAGATAAAGACTGTGCCAAACATTTCTGAGTATACTCGTGTTGGGTTTTTTCGGCTTTGAATTAAGGTCTGCAATTTTTAAGTTTCTGGCATTCATGGACTGAAGTATGTTGTCCTTCCTGATAAATCAGATAAGTTGACAACATCAGTATTAAAAGAACGTGCATGTATGTGCGTAATAGCCTTGTAAAATATAGTTGTCTATAAAAAGGCACCCAAAGGTACCATTGTTCCTAAGTAGATTTAAACAGCAGTTTTGCATCAGCCTACTTTCCAGAGCTCACTAGAACTGCTGCCTTGCTATTACAGGAGAAAAACAGCTCCCGTCTGTAAAGCACGTCTGTTGTTCGCTGCTGCAAACAGCTTGCATTTCACATGGTCCGCTACTTTCATAGATACATTTTTTTAAAGACTACCGAATTTATATACTCACCTGCACCAGCTTATACCAGCTTCCACTTTCACTGGTGCTGTGGTTTGTACCATTGCAGAAACTGGCAGCTGTTTTTAGAATGTGTTTTAATAAACAAACCTCATCACTGAAGGGCCTGATTCTCAAATACACTTTTTAGAAAACTTCCATGTAATTCTGTGCTTTGCTGTTTGATATACGTTGGGACTATTGAAAACTTTTTCATTAAGTGTACTTGAGTTCTTGATGGCTAAGTGGAAAAATTTCTTGAAAGCACTAGAAAGAAAAGCCAGCATCCTCAAAAATAAAAGTTTCATCTCTGTGCAGGAGGTCTTTGAACACAGCTGCCCTGTAGCAGAGGGCACGACACGCTGTTTGCAGCTTGTGCGGGCAGCTAATGACAGCCAGATCTGAGAATGCACTCCTTGCCTCTGGGAGGAGCTGGGATGCTTAATCCTGGCTTTTTGAGTCTCTTCTTGACAGAGCACCGAGCTTGTTCACAGGGATTGAAGAGCAACAAGGGCTAAACTAAAAGCATTTTTCTTTTGGGGGCAAGGTGTCACTTGGGCTGCGTTTTGTCAGGTACCAACTGCTGTGGAGATGCATAAAATCTAGTGTTTGGTTTGGTTTTTTTTTTCCCTAAACCATGTGAAGAAAGAGATAAAATTTTTAGTAAATGTCACTAGTTTCTTCTTGTTTAATCCCTTTTTAGTCCAGTTAGTAAAAAATAGGTAGTCCTGGACCTCCAGAGGAGGAGGGGTAGCAGAGATGCGCTTTAGATGGGTGAAGTGCAAAGTCTCAGTCCCATAAAGACTCAGTGTGCCTTGTCTAGCTGTTTCAGTAGATTGAATACAGCTTCTCCTCTCCCCCACCCTTTCCGTTTATTTAACAGAAATTATTTTCTTTAAATGGAACAGCTACTGTTTTAAAGGCAAAACAAAACTCATGGTTTGAGCCCTATATTGGCCATCTACATTGTTGGAAATACCAGCAGTCGCATGTTTGATCTGAATACGTTTGACGACCGACTGTTGAGGTCTGTTGGTTGACATTCTGCAAAGAGAGTCTTGCTGAGGTTTTCTCTGTCTGAGCCTGAGGTCTTACTGCAGTTTGGTTTTACTCTGCTATCTGCTCCTGAACCGGCGAGGTTAATGGATACCCTTTCTGTGATGATGTACAGGATGACTTTTATTCCAGTCTCCTCTTGTCCATGAGATGCTTAGTGTCTGTCCACTCCCAATAAATATAGCCATATGTATATACACACACACACACGTGTTTTTAATCGGAGAATGTGGCACTTGACATCAGTGCCTCAACTTTCCTCAGTTTTATGTTCTGTTGTTTTACATGGGTATACTAGGAGTGAGTGCAGAAGTTTGGGATTTGGTCACTGTCTTTAATTACTGTGAGCGTCTGCAGTACAGAGAAAAGTAATTTTGTAACTGCTTGTTAAAGGGTGCTGAGACTTTAAGGTATAGAAGGATAGATATTAAAAGTACATGGAGCAGGGGGACGAGGTGCTATTTTATAGAACAAATTTATATGAAGAACATCTGGGTAAAATTCAGAGATGTGGTGCCTCGTCAGAGACACGAGACTATAGGATAGATGATTTTTAAAAATAAAGCTATTTCCTCTAATTGGTGAACTTACACTTTCAAAATTATGACTTTGCCTGTCAGTTTTTATGGTCATCACTTTCTTCTTCAATGATGGTGACTTCATGTGGGAGGAGGGAGAGGATTAATTTGGAAGATTTCAGCTCACCATGCTGGGAGGGACCAAACTCAAGGAAACCTCTGATCTATATACACAACTGCTGCATTTTTTTATAAATATATGTAAATGTCCTATTGTAATATTTGATCCTGGAAATAAAACAAACGGTTTTCAGTAGCTTTCTTCATCTCTTGGGTTTTGGGTTTGGGTTTTTTTGCTGTTGTTGTTTTGGTTCTAATGAAAGTCTGTCCCTGCGTTATATGGAGAGTTTCTGAGCTTTTCCTTTAGGTTATTGGGGGTAGAAGGAAAGAAAATCAAGCCAAGTTCCCTATGTGTGTGTATCTGACTTTTCAGTAAAATTGTCAGATTGGGTGCTTTTCTTTTTCCTTTGCCTCTGGGTCTGTGAATCTCGACTAGGCAGAATAGGTCCGGGTGCCATAGCTTCTGTTGAACCTCTGGGAAGTTTATGATTTTCCTATCCTGGCTGTAGTAGCTTTCATTGGCGTTGGCTCTCTTTACAAAATAAGTAGCAGAAGCTGCAGCTCAGCAGAAGCTGGAGAAGTCCAAATGTGTGTTATTTTAGATACTAGCTCCAGGTCTGCCCAGCCAGCAAGGACAGGGCTTACCTGAATTTGAAGCCCATTTGCAATATGGTGCCTGATAATAAATGCAACCAAGTAAGTGACTTCAGTAGAAAGCATCTGCTTCCTGCTGATGAGGAATTGTTGATTACTGTGAGCTGCTTGCTTAGCCCAAGAAAGCTTCAGCCCATTCTAGAGGTTACAAAATCTTGAAGAGAGACAAACTTTTGGTACCTTGCTAGGAAAAATACCCTTAAGAAAATGAATAAAAAGAGGCAGGGCTAGGACTTTTCATCCTTCCCAGTGGAAAGGCAGAGAAAATGCGGCTTTCTATTCTGAACCATCAGTGTCCTCCTGGTACAGGTGTTGTCAAGACGGAGCCTCTAAACTTCTGCAGTTGTCTTTTGGGCTCCTTGGGACATTCCTGTAACAGCCTCACATGAAATGCTGATGAGCAGAGTCCCTTCTGGGCAAGTACTTAGCAGGTACAGTGGAGAAACAAAAACTTAGGAAACTGATTTCAGGTCATCCTCGTGTTCCTGACTGTGGGTGGGTGTCCACTGAAACAATAACTTCAGCCGCTGCCCCGGTCTTGCTCTGTTTGAACTCTCCAAAAAGTTATGGAATAGGGTGACTGACTGTGCCAACAGTCATGCTAAAACCTTCAACCAGTGTTCATCATGACTCATTTCCAGCATGCCTTGGATAGGAGGGCAAATGTCCTTGGCTTGGCTTATCCGAACCCAAAACTTTCTCGAGGGAGGTTATCCGAGTTCTGTGGTTAACACCCTCCTGGGAGACACTGACTTCCAGAGGAGGCCAGAAGGCTGTTGCTCCAGCTGCCTTTCCAGAGGTATCTTGGAAGTGACTTTCTCTTTAGTTTTCAGCATATGTGCCTCTCCTTCTCACTATGTTAACTGGACGATGCCAGCTTCTGTGATGAAGACTTGCTTGTGCGCCTCTCAAGGCTGGAAAACAACCTGATCTCTTCATGCAGCTTAGGAAAATATTTCCCATTCCAACTGACTTGGAAATATTTTTTCATCATAGTCTGCAGGTCAAGGGATACAGGATAGACTAAAGATACCTCTTGGTTTTAATTTATTTACTTTTCCTTTCTGCAGATGCCTTCTAACTTTTAACTGGGTTGGTTTATCTCATCTGAAGTATTAAATCAGGTGAAATTCATAAGGAAGCTAAAGCGAATGCCATATTATCTAACACAGTCGTGTTGGTATTTCTTCAGTCTGAGTTCTAGCCACAAACTCTGTGCAGGATTTGTCTAAGGGGATCACTGTTGGCAGCGAACGTGCCCACACCTGAGTTTGGAGAAGTCCTAGCTAGCTAGTGGCAGAAACAGATTTGCAGATGCTCTGAGAGGAGTGGGCGAGACTGCTGACTCGTGCTGAGCATCCTCTGGACAGGACCAAGGTGGAGGTTGGTTTGGCACAGAATGGTTCGATCTTGCCGATTCGGACTCAACTCAGCCTCTTTGATTCTCCTTGAAGCCAAACCACTCTTGAAACCCAACCTGCCATACAATTTCCACAGCCCCAGGGGAGTTTGAGGAAGCAAAGAGCAGGGGAGCATGGTTAAGAGAGTGGACGCAGTGCTTATAAAAAGCTCACAGACCTTAAAGTTCAGGAAGAGCCACTGCCAGATGTGACCTGCAAACTGTAGGCTGGAGAGGCAGATCCCTCTAAGTGTGACAGGATAAAGCAACACGAAATGACTAGGATGAAAGCAGCTGGCATCTCTTCAGCCGCAATCCGGTGTCAGAGAAGGAGTTGGCAGGAGGACCTTGCCGAGCCAGCGTCACTTTGCGTGGGACCACATGTGGCAGCACTGTGGCTGGGTGACTTGGCAGCAAGTTACTTGAATTGCTGTGCTGACACTTTCATAATTAAGGTCTTGTGCGAGAAAGGGAGGCATGCAGCAGCTCAAGGTGCTTGGGGAAGCTGTGCAGGGCTAAAATTAGCCTTTTATTATTATTATTACTATTATGGACTTGAGCTGGAGCGGGTATAAGGGAAAGATCAGTGATACTGGGGAAAAGATTCACCCTGATGCTTCATCATGAATTACATGGGGTTTTTTGTGGGAGATGATTGACCAGATCATGTGTGTGGCAACGTAGGAAGCTCAGATTGCTGTGACGAAGAAAAGGGCACAAGATGAGGTTGCAACACATTTTCTTCCAGCAGAGTGAAAAATGCTTCCTCTCTTTCTAAATAAAAAAAAAGAGAAGGAAAAATTGTATTATTCTCAGCAGTCTGCTGTCCTACATGTTTTGCCTTTGCTGCTGTCTGGTTTTTAGAGACCAATTCATCTTATTTAAGAATAAAACGGGAATTTACTTGCTGGTGCAAACTCTGATCTTCCTTTCAGAGGAACTATCATTATTCGGATAATTTGCTCCTCTCGGCTTATTTTTCCTAGGAAAACGGAATTGGCTGATGTAACCCAGTCTCACCCATTCATCTTTTTCCATGTGGCACTCAAGGGGTCCAACTCCATTTTCTGTTTCTGCCAACAGTGGCATGCTGTACTTAGAGCAGTTTTTATATTCTCGACAGTCCTGTACTCACTGGTTTGAAAGCAGGAAAAGCCACTTTGAAACGTGTTGGCAAATGCTACTGGTGTGCATTGCCCTAGGTAGAGCAAGGTAGCACTCTAGTTGCTTTTTTATTTACTGTATTGGAGCAAGACTGTATCAGGGCTATAAGATAGCTGCACTTAGACTTCATCTCCTGTGGCTGTTGCAGATGGGGAAGCTGACATCCCAGGTAGCTGATGTGCCTCAGGTCCTCATGATGAACACATGAGGAATATGAACCTTCTCCGAACTCTTCTTTGAGAAGATTCTTCCTTTTGCCTGCACGGCCCACAAGCAGTTCTCCTCTTTGTTTGTGCTGCCCGCAATCCCCTGCCAGAAAAACTGCTCCATTTTTGCCATTTTTTGTACTACTGCTTCCCTCTCTCCTGTTCTCAGACATGGAGGTCATGTTCTCCTGGTCCTGTTTCCCATCTTGGAGCTGCTACTGTCAGACCTTCTCTGTGGGATCAGAAGAGGAGATTTCCCATTGTATGCTAACTGCCAGCCATGGAGACCCCGGATAGAACTTTGAAATGCTGCTGTCTGGTGACTTGCAATAGTTAAGATAAGATACTCAGAAATAACCTTTCTCTCTCAATGTTATCACCAAGATGCGAGATATATACGTAATGGGGGTATGCTCAACACCTGGAGGAAAAGCTGGGCTATCGACAAGAAAGCAAAAGGCAGAAGATAGGAACCAGCTGAGACACGAGAATATTTCTTTAAAAGCTTTTATCAAAATATTAGTATACTCTCTCCTGTGGGTAAGAATGAGAAGAGGCAAACCTGAACTATTCAGCAGCCACACACAAAGCTCTTGCACAAGGGAAATAAGGTGAAACATGATGGAAGAAGCCCTTGGTGGGCGACGTGGATTCACAGTGACAGAACGATAGTGTTTGGAGTGGGCTGCAGAGGAGAGAGGAAAATGTTCTCCCTACATAGTCATTGCAGGCTGTTCCAGGAGAAATGGTGTTTGCTACTTGGGCAATGGTCAAGGCATTTAGAGCAGACATGGTAGAAGCCTTAAAATCTGAAGTTGTGCATGCTTTGATGGACTTGTGGCTTCAGCCAGTGGAAGGAGGCGTGATCGAACAGATGGATCAGCTGCAACACCGGCAGAGGCTGGCTCATTCAGACAGGACAGTCATTCTTCCTTTTGAGCCGGCAGTTGTGTGGGAGAGGGGAGGATCATGACTGGTGCGGTGGGTGGACCTTAGGGTGGAGGAGGAAGACATGGAGCACATGCTAGGACATCATAAATAGTCACCCATGGGTGATGCCTCCAGGACAGGGCTCATCTAAGGGGTGGACGCTGCTGGCTCCACGTGGCATCACTTCCAGGTAAGCTGGGAAGGTGGGTGGACGGGTTGCCTGGGCTTTGCTTGAATCCCCTTGCTTTTGGCCATGGAGACATGCTAGCAGGAAGGGAGTCTTTCTTTCAAGTGTCCTAATAGAGACTGATTCAGCTGCTTTACCTCCCCGTACAGAGGGGGTTTTCTGTCTGTATTGGCTGAGGTAGAAGAAAGCAGCTAATGCAAACTTGCTTCATGCTCAAGGGGAGCGTTGTGGGGGGGACAGCAAGCTGTGGAGAGCTTCCTGGGGGAAGGAGACCTGCTGCCTTCCCCAGGAAGAGGGCAGCAGTGGAGGGGCAAGAGAGTCCTTGGAGAGTTTAAGGGGAGACTTACAGAAGACCACAGAAGCCTCGGGCTGGTGAGAGCAGCCCACGCTGTGAGCTCCTGAGGAGCAAGAGCTATTCTGGAAGGTCCTCCAAAGTGGGGAGGTGGGACTCAGCACTGAACGCTCGTGGCTCTTGCGGGGGACAACCATGCATAATCCCTGGACTACAGGTGGGACTGCAGTGAGGGCAAGAGGCCCTAAATTCCTTATAACCAAGGCAGGGAGGATAGAAAGCAGTGGAGAGGTGAAGCTCCGGGATGGGTGGAACTGGTGGTCCACCTTGGGCTTCTTGGCTTGTGTCATCTCCATGCAGCAGAGTTTTGCAGCCCTGTTCCTCCACGTTCAGCCCTCCCTAGCCCCCAGCAGCCTGCCGGGGCTGGCGTGGCTGGTCTCTAGCAGGTTGCAGCCACGCAAAGCCCCGTTGGGCTGGTGCCCCCCGGCCTCTCGGTCTATGCAGATGCTGGACACGCAGCCTGAGCCATTCCTCCCCATCGCTGACGCTGTGCACGAGGGGGGCTGAGGCAGCTCTTCCCACGGAAACAACCACGCGGCGCATCTTCACTTCTGCTTCTGCAAAGCCAGAGTGAGCCTGAAATAAATTACCCAGTGCGAGAAGCAGCTTGATTCAGGGAGCTTGCGCAAAATGGGTTGCAAGCCACCAGGAAAGGGGAAAAATGCATAAAACCAATTTGAAGCAAAAGTGGACACAGGGTAGAAGAAACCTGGAAAACCGGGACAACAGCAAACCAGGTTGTTGTCAGCAGTCCCAGGGTGACCAATGGATATCCCCTGTCTTGGGGGTACAGAAGAGGGAGAGTTAATTTTTGACAAGGTATCACTTGGAGATGGGCAGGCACTTCCTAGGTGAACTGATAACTTAATAAAATGCCAGCAGAGCTGGATGGCTTGCCTGAGGATAGGTGATAACCTTTTCTTAATTAACTTTAATTGGTTTCAGCATATTCAGACCTATGGTAGGACTAGTATGTGACGGGGATGGTGTTGCTGTTGGATTTGATTGGAGACTGATGTGCTTTCACAAGTCCTTGTCCAAGGATTTTGCCCCTTTCCTGGCTCCCTCCTGCTCATCGTAAGCACTCAAAGTCAAACCAAGCCGTGATGGTTGGTAACATTTTGGAGGAGTCGACCTTGCAGGTCTCACATCTTTCAAGGCTCGGTGTGGGACCTGCCATTGTCTTAAACTCCCTTACCCATTTGACAAAGAAATATTAGCAGGTCTGTAGCTGGGCTTCTCCTTTTATGATAAAATAGCTCAACCTCAAGAAAACTGTTCACTGGCAGTAGATCAGTATTACCATTGGATTTATTTTTAATATTTCATTAATTAGATCGTGTGTGGAAAATAGGATTTCCACTGGAAATTGCCCTCGAATAAGGGCGATGCCAGTGGGGTGGGCTGGGACCCAAAAGCTTGAACCAGAAAACTCCCATCCACCTGTGGCTGTGAGATGGGCTCAGGGTAGGGGAGCCATGGGGCATTGAAGGGATGAAGGCAGCCCCTTCCTCTCCTCCTCTTCCTCCCCATCCTCATGCAGGGTGGCCATGTGTGTGGGGAAATGCAGCCGGATCGTGGGTCCCTGTCTGCTGGCGCTGGGCATGCTCTCTGTGGCAGCCAACATCCTCCTGCTCTTCCCTGGTGGGACATCAAAGTACCTGGTGGAGGGGCACATCAGCAAGCAAGCCAGGGCCATGCCAGGTGTCTGGGGAGGTGGCATCACCGTGAGTACCGCGGTTTGCACCGCGCCCTTCCTCGTGTGTCTGTGGAGCGGGGATGAAGGGACAGAGCAGGTGGCTCCCCTTCGTCCCCCAGCTGCTTTTTCCTTCCTGCAGGTGCTGCTGGCAGCGACCCATATCACGGCGGTGGGGTGGCGATGTGCCGGCTGCTCCGACTGCGGCACCCGTCGCAACGTAAGGCAGCGCTGGGCCCCCCGTGCCAAAGCAGTCCCAAGCAGCCCATGGTGGGATGTGGTGGGTGGCCTCAGGGTGGGATGTGGTGAGGTGCCAGCTCTCCCATGGTCCTGTGGTGGGACTCAGCATGGATCCTGCTCTCCCATGGCCCCAGGGCGGGATGTGGCAGGGCGCCCCCTCTTGCATGGTGGGTCGAGGAAGGGTGCCTCCTCTCCCCTGGCCCCGTGGTGGGATGTTGCATGGTGCCACCTCCCAAGAGGTGGCATGGGCTGCTGGCATGGGCTCTGCCTCACCAAACTCTGCATGGCAGCTCCCTGCCTATCCCTGCTCCCTGCCTGTCCCCGCTCCCCGCCCGCTTCTGTCTGGCTCAAAACAGCCCAGCGATGGCTCTGTCCTCAGCCTCGGCTCCCCAGGGCTGCAGCCCCTTGGGGTGAAGGGAAGGGGAGTTTTGCCCCCTTACCAAACTCCACCAGTAACGCACAGCCACATTTTGGAGCCCACCTGACTTTCGGTCCCCCCACACTGCCCTCACTGGGTGCTGCCCGCAGGCTTTCATCTCTGCTGTGCTCTCCAAGCTGGCACTTCTGGGCGCTGCCGCCTGCTTCGTCCTCTCCGGGGTGGGTTTGACCGATGGACCCCTCTGCTTCTACAATGCCTCTGAGCATGGCCGCGGGCACGGCATCCTCTGGGATTACCCCTTCCTGGACGCCGGCGGCAAGGAGCCTGACACCAGGTGAGGCAGCAGGGTTGAGTCGTCAGTGCCACCTCGTCAGCTTATTGCTAATTAAGTCTGTATTATTTATGGTGGGTGGGGTGAGGTGGGCTTGCTGGTGGTCATGCAAGACCCCAGTAGCTCAAGAGGTCCTCACCTTTCACGGCTTTCTATGCGGTCCTTCCCATCCCCATCACCCTGCTGACCCTGTTCATCCTCGGGATGAAGGAGGAGGCATCTGGGGCACACCTCCATGGTGGAAAGCGATGCGATTCCTGATGAATTGCGGGGCAGCATCTTGCATCTCCTTCTCTCCCCATCATGCAGGGCACAGAATTACCTGTATGATCGTCGCACCTGGAGCACCTGCCTGGAGCCGGAGGGCATTGTGGCCTGGAATGTTGTCCTCTTCTCCCTCCTGCTGCTTGTCAGCGCCACCGAGATGGTGCTGGCCTCCCTCCAGATCCTCAACGGCTGCCTCGGGTGCCTCTGCGGCTTTTGTGAGGGGAAGTAGGGACCTGCGACAGTGCCAGGAGGATGGCACTTGGAGGAGGTATCAGCCCTGGGTGTCCCTTGGCTGGTGGCAAATGCTGTAGCAGGGATATGGCAGGAACTGTGACACCAGCCCAGTACAAGAGCCCCGTGCAAGATGGACAGAGTTGCCCAGAGGGGACAGACATCCCAGCCTGCGTGAGTTGTCGAAGCAATGGGAGTGGGGTCAGTGTGCAAAGGGCTGCCTCCATGCAGAGCCCTCCACCTGGGCGATACCTCTTCCTCCTCCCTGGAGCAGATGCCCTTGGGGCTAGCAGCCATTTGGGGATGGAAATGAGCCCAGTGAGCGATGGAGGTGAGGACCTGGCTCCCGGCATCCCGACATGAGCCCAATGGCTCCCCTGGCCGTTACTCATCAGCCTCCACCCGCCCGAGTGCAAAATGTGACACGATGGTATATGTAGAGACAAGAGCTGGAACACTAACTTATTTTCATTAATCAGTCTGTATTTAGGGCAGCTTGCATTGGTGTTTGTCTCCGGCACCGGGCAGGAGAGGTGAAGGAGACTGGAGGAGCCGAGCCAGGCTCTGGCTGGGGCTGGGGGGCTTGGATGGAGTCGTGCTGGGGGAAGTAGTGATGGAATTGAGGTGTAGCCTCCATGAAGTTCACCCATACGCACACATATACATGCGGCAAATGTTAGGAGCCCCGCACTCATCCCCACCGGCCCAGGACCTCCATCGCACCACCCACCACTGCACTCGCAGGGGGCGTCACTGGCTTCAGCGCATCCCCCATCCCTGCGCCCTCATCCCCTAATCCTTCACAGGGACCAAGTGTGGGTACAGACCTGAACCTGCCTGCGCTGGGAGGATGTTTGCCACAAAACCGATAAGGTTCAGAGGAAAGTAGCAATGTCCAGGGTAGCTTAAAAAAACCCACAATCAGCCAGATTAAACAGTAACTGGGCAACTGTTGAGGTTTAACCCCAGCTGGCAACTAAGCACCACACAGCCACTCATTCACCCTCCTCCCCAGCAGAATGGAGGGAAGAGAAGTGGAAGGGTAAAAGTGAGAAAACTCATGGGTTGAGATAAGAAGAGTTTAATAATTGAAAAAAAAAAAAAAAAAAAAAGGAAAGTAACAGAGACAGAGAAATAAAACCCAAGAAAGACAAGTGATATAAATGAAAACAATTGCTCACCACCAACTGACCGATGCCCAGCCAGTCCCCGAGCAGCAGCGCCCAGCCAACTTTCTCCCCCCCCAGTTTTATTGCTGAGCATGACGTCACATGGTCTGGAATATCCCTTGGGTCAGTTGGGGTCAGCTGTCCCGGCTGTGTCCCCTCCAACTGCTTGTGCACCCCCAGCCTGCTCGCTGGTAGGGCAGTGTGAGGAGCAGAAAAGGCCTTAACTCTGTGTAAGCGCTGCTCAGCAGTAACAAAAACACCTCTGTATCATCAACACTGTTTTCAGCACAAATCGAAAATATAGTACTACGAAGAAAATTAATTCTACCCCAGTCAAAACCAGCACAGTGATTTTGGGGAGACTGTTGAGAAAAAGAGGCATTGGCTCAAACAGCACCATTAAAAAGGAGCAATTAAAAAAGGAACATAAATATTTATGACCATGGAAGGAAAACCCTCGGAGCAGGGTGGTAGTACCAGCTATGGCACAGCTGGAGCATGACATCCCCCCGGCCCAGCACCTGGCATAGGCAGGTGGCACAGGGTGTCCCCAGATGCCTTCTCCCCTGCTTTGCTGCTGTTGCCCCCCATTATGTATTTCATGGGGCAGCCCATGTACGCTGAAAGGAGCCTGGGGCTGGGCTGGTGGCACAAGCCTCCATGCCTAATCAACTATGTAATTAAAAAATAGCAATAAAAATGAGATAAAAATCCAGTTTTGGGACGGTAGCGCATGCCTTCTGTGTGATGTGGCCATGCTGGCCGGTGGCAGGACCCCAGGCTGTGAGCATCCCAGTGCACTGGGCTCTGGGTTGGTGCCCCAGGGTCTGGTGCTGGAGGACCGGGGGGAGCCAACCTGGGGGGCATTAGGAGACGAGGCAGCTCTTTCGCCTCTGCTTCCTGCGGTGTGTGGGGCCGCCATCCTGCTGGGGAGCAGTGGCTGTCAGGGGGATGTTCTGGAGCACATCGTATAGCGTGAACATGCTGAAGGAGATCTGCTCATAGGGCGACCGTGTTCCATTCTCGTAGAGGCAGGCGAAAGCGATGGCTGGGCCACCAGAGATGGAGGCCTCATTGTAGGGCAGCTCCATGTAAGCCAGGTCTGAGTAAGCGCTTGGGCCCTCATAGATGACCCACGGCTCGGTCCAGCTCTCCACGTCCCTGGGGAAGGTGCTCAGGTGAACCCCCATGTTGACCCGTGACATGGAGCTGGTGGGGTGGGAGTAGAGGACCCACGTTGGTGCTTGGAAGAAGGCGGTGGGGCTGGGGGTCACCACAGGGTCCCCTCGGACTGAGGCAATACCATGGGCATGGCCGTGAAGCCCTGGGGTAGGACAGCCCTCCTCAGGCTCGGCTGGCTTGTGGTGGCTGCTGGTGGCCACAGCGGGCAGCTCATCACCTGCTGCCTGCTGGGTGGGCAGGTACTGAAATCCCTGGAGCATCCCAGGGAGCAGCTGGCGAGCTGAGCCCCGGAGGGGCATTGTGGGGTCCCAGGGGGCAGTGGGGACGTACACGAAAGGTGCGGGGAAGCCGATGACGCTGCCATGACAACCATGGGGGGGCTCGACCAGCCGCTGGACCAGCTGCCCCCCGTGGAAGACAGCCCCGTCGTCTGTGCTGAGTGCCTGGACCCTGAAGCCCAAAGGGCTGCGGGCATTGCAGTAGAGGACGTTGGAGCCATCCTCCTCATCCACCGAGACCAGCTGGCACTCACCTGTCTGCAGGTTGGGGATGAACTCCCCAAAGCGCCAGCCCCGGCCATGGTCATCACTGTAGAAGGCAAAGGAGTGAGGGGTGGTCTTGCAGAGCTGGCCAAAGCACTCCTTGCAGTCGATGTGGTAGCTGTAGGCAGGCACCAGCAGCCGGCCGGACCGCAGCTGGATCCCGTGCCCGGGGCCCAGTGCAAATGTCGCCCAGTCTGGGGAGGGGAGATGGGATGTGGGTAAAGAGTGGCCTCCATGGTGCACCTGCCATGCCCAACGTAGAAGGGTGTCCAGAGCATCCCCCCCCAGCCTAGCCAAGCAAGGCGGTGGGGTGGGAGTGCAGCAGAGCCCAGTGCTGCCTGGTTGTCCTCACATGGGCCTACCCACAGCTACAGGGCCTCTCCATCTTCTCTCCCACCCCTTGCAAGTGATACAGCTACTCCCTCCATCCCCTCTCCCCTCTGCTTGAGGTCATCTTCCACCCCATCTCTTCGATGCTTGTGGGCTTCCTACCCCGAGGCCAACTCCAGCCACACCACAGGTGGCTCCAGGAGGCCAAAACCCATGGTCATCCTCTTGCTGGCTGTCCCCCCCCCGCTCCTCGCCCCTCTCCAGTGGGCTACCTTTGATGGCCCCGCCAATGACCTGCTGCGTCAGGTCTGTGGCTGTGCTCCAGCTCAGGCCCTGGTCAGCGCTGGTGACACAGCAGAGGCGGGTGACGTTTTGGCCGGTGACGATCTGGTAGGCTTCAGGGGTCCTGCCCAGCACAGTGATGAAGAAAAGGAAGAGGGTGCCAGTGAACTCATCATAGAGCGGGCAGGGGTTCATCGACCGGTGGTGCTGCAGCGTCGCCGTCTCCAGCACGCGCATATCTTCCCACTGCCCAGGGAGGAAGAGAGGAGGGAGAGGGGTGAGGACCACCCCGCTTCACCTGACCCAGCCTCCCCTCCCCATGCAGGTGCCTCCAGGAGCTCGGCTGTGCCCAGCAGTGGAGGATAATCACCTCGCTGTCCCCGTGCCCCCAGCCCAGCGTGTCCCCCCCCCAGCCCCAGGTGCATCCCCCGTCCCACCTCCACATAGCTCCCGTAGATCGTGCCACGGCGCAGCACCAGCAGGTTGGCGTGGGCATCGTCGGCACTCAGTCGCTCCTCAGCGAAAGCCAGCAGTTTGGCCACACAGGGCAGGTAGAGCAGAGCAGGCACGCGGTATGTGACGCCATTGGACTCCTTCTCAAAGAGGACGGTGCGGGCAGGGAAGTGCCGGGAGCCCATGGCTTCTGTGGCAGAAAGATGCAGCCTTATCCTGGTGGGCTGATGAAGGCAGGGGGGACCAGCTGCTGGGCACGGCTGGGATTGCGAGCTGGATTGTCCTTGGAGGGGTTTGGGGTTTAACTTGGTGGGCTTGGGTTTGGGGAACCCCCCACCCTGGGAGCATGGGCTGGAGGGCAGGTTGCTACAGGCAGGGTTGGGGTTGAGGGGGGCTGAATGTGTGCTGCTGTGGTGGCAAGTCACCACCCCTCAGAGGTGGGACAGGATTTTGAGTAACACCAAAGAGGCTGACCTGGGCTACCCTGAAATAAAATTAAATCAAATCAGTCTTCGAGATGCTCTTCAAAAGCAGTTTCTGGTAAATCGAGGCCAGTCAGCAAAGGGCAGGGTGAGACCTGTGGTTCCCTGCTCCCACCATCAAGTGAGTGTTGGGGGGACAGAGCCTGTCCCCACACGGCCAAAAACCTGGGAGCATGGGGTCAGGGAGCATTTTGTACTATTACCTCCAGCACAGTGGACCCAGCCAGCTCCTCATTTCCCCCCTCCCCTGCAGGGAAAACCTGGGGTGCACAACATGAACCGTGGGGTCCCCGGCTGTGCTGTCCCCGCAGCAGTGGGTGGCAAGTGGTCCCCGAGCACCCTTCATTCAGGGACAGCAGGACAGCTGTCGTGGCCAGCTGTCCCCAGGTTACTTGTCCCTACATGTCCTAGGTTATTGCCGCAGGAGGAGATGGGCATCCCACTCCAGGGTGCAGCTGGAGTGGCTGAGGGCAACTTTCACCTGTGTTTTAATTAGGAGCTTTTGCTGATCAAACACCCCACAGAGAAGCGAAAGCACTCACCGGGTCCTGTTCAGCTGGGAGTGTCCCCTCCACCACAGGGTAATGTCAGCTCCTGCAGCTGCTGGCTTTCTGCAGAGCCTGTTGCCTCACTGCTTCGCTGCTATCCCCCCCCTTGCAGGGTCCCCCCACCGATGGGTCACGGGGCTCCCGCAGTGGCGGTGGCCGGGAAAAATCCCTCAGTCAGCAGTGGCAGCCACTCGTGCAGTGCCGGGCGGCACAAAGGCACCATTATCAGCCCAGGCAGAGCCAGGGGACTGCCAAACCACCTTGCTCAAACCCGCCAGGAGGGAATGCAAGGGGAGCCATGGCACGGGGGTGTCTGCATCTCCTGCCTCAGTTTCACTCCTCCCGCAGGCTGGGAGAGGCTTGACCTCCCTGCCCAGGTGCTGCAACCCATGTTCACCATGGTCTACCCTAGCCGTGAGCTCCCCAGCCTGTGGGCTGTGGTCCAGAGGGTCCCAGCCTTCCCAGGACACCCATCTGGACACAGGTCAGCTGTTAAGAAATTATTTTTACGCTTATATTCTATTGCTGGCATCAGCTTAGCTAAAGGGGCTTGACAAAATTCATATGGCAAGTCACGGATCAGAAGCTCCAAGGCGACAATTCAGGCTCAGGCTGCAGAATTGGCTGGGGAAAGCCCCCAGGGATTGCCCAGGCTGAACACGTGCAGCTGCTGTCTCCTCTGCCTCAGCTAGTTACAAATGCTTCCTAAGCCTGGTTAATTTTAGCTAAGGTTGCTGAAGCAGAAAAAAGTGAAGGTGCTGTTAATCTCATGTTGTTTCTGTTGTACATTGTGGGGTTGCGGAGGAGCGTGGATTACATTGCAAGGAGGTTAACCCTTGCCTCAGCTGGCTTCCCTGGCTACCTGCTGGGTTTAAACATAGCCAAGGAAAATCCCAAATCTGCTTCTCCCTCCACTTCCCTCCGACAGCATCTCTCCTGCTTTCCAGGCTGAGCTGCTGCCCAGCTAGCTTCACCCCAATGCGAAGCTGCAAGCTGAGCGACCCCGGATGCATCATCCCAGTCACGCCATCCAGGTCCCTGCTCCTGCCCTGACTGGTGTGAGTGGGAGGAGACGCTGACTAAGCTTTGAAATATTACACCATCGGTAATGGCAGGTGCATTGGAAACTGGTGATGGGCAATCATTAACAGTGGTGACGCCAAAGCCGTTGGGCTTGGCACTGCCGTTCTTCTGCCGAACCTTCCCAGCACCAGCATGGCAGCAGGGAGCTGGCTAATGGGCAAAGATATCCCAGGCAGGTTTAATTACCTCCTTCAGTAACAAGGTCATGCCCTAAACGAGCAGCGGCCATGCCTCCCTCCACCCGTCTCCTAATCAGTGTTGGAGAGTTTGGCCAACATGGCAAGGGGGGGCCAACAAAGTCTCTGCTGATAAAGGGCTTCAGAGATGTTGAGCCCAAGGGACAATCCATGCCCAGGGGCCAGGGACCCTCACCCAATAGAGAGGGATGAAACCACAAAACAGGCCCTCCCAGGGGAGCACCAAGCTGTCCCAAGTGGTGCAGAGGCCCCCCACACCTGATGACACATGAGAGGGACGTCTCATGTGTTGGTGGGGAAAGGCTGACAGACAGTGTGCCCGGCTTTGGGCATGATGCTTGGGACACTCATCTGAAAAGCAGCCGTGGCATCACAAGGCGCGTGGTTGAGCATGGATGCTGCTGGACTAGAGACCCAATATCTCTCCTACTCCTTCAAGCACTTCATCCCCTCGTCCTGCTCTCCTCCTCATTTCTCTCCCCTTCATTTCTCTCCCCCTCCCCCTTTTCCCCTAAATGCCTAAAGTCAGGACTTGCTCTAGCAAGCTGTGACCAGCCTAGATGTAATGATGGCTATTAAACAAAGTCGAATGCAAACAAAATGATTAAGCCTGTGATTAATGATTAAGAGGCAGAAACATCTAAGCCAGCTGAAAGCCTACCCAGTGCTCAGCAGCAGAAGGCTGTCCCCCTCCCTAGGAACGGGGAGAAGGGATCACGTAGGATCCGGCCCATGCAGAGCCTTTGGCTCAAGGTCCCCAAAAAGGGACCCACCACCAGCTTGGTGGTCCAGAACAAACTCCCCCCCTGCCTCCCCCTCATGCACGAGAGTCCTGTGGGCCAGTCACGTGCCAAACATGGGGTGATGCAAAGCGGTGGGAAACCACAGTGGGTTGTCGCATGCCCTAGTTGGGAGTTGGGAGCTGCGTCTTCTCCTGGAATTTGGTCAACGGCAAGGGCAAGATCTTCCTCTTCTTGTGCGGGTGTTGAACAGTGTAAAGATAGGATGTGTACTGGAGCTCTGGCATAACCATTTTCTGGCAGGTTCTCAGAGTCATGTTGTCTAAGTCTTGTTTGAGGTTGTACCCAAGGATATTTGCATCCCCTGACTGGAAAGGCAGGAAAGCTTTGTTCTTGATGTCATCCTTCCCCACTGCCTCCTGGTCCGAGAGACAGGTGTCCATGAGCTCCTTCTGTCTTGTTCGCAGGCGATTTACCTCCTTCTCCAGCTCCTTGAGTCCTATGGTCTCCTCAATTCTCCTCCAGAAGCTCTGGTTGAAGTGCAGGTAGAGCTTCCAGTCCAGTGAGCACCACACTTTTATCCGCTCCTCGCTTTTTGGAGTCAAGGTCTGGACAGTGTCCTGGCTTCTGGAATTGAGCTTAAAGTAAATCACGTCATCCAGATCCCAGCACAAAGTGTGCTTCAAGAAGATCATGGACTCATCAAAGTAGTCTGATATCAAGATCAGATGGAAGTTCTGTTCAATCTCCTTCAAGACTGCCTGGATGTACTTTTTGTTGTCCTCTGCATTGTTATCATAGCCAAAGTCAAACCACATGATATTCCTGGCATACATGTTTTTCTTGTAATCTGCCAGATGGTAATACTTCATGGGTGACGCCAGGAACTCGTTCACATCCTTGGAGATCCTGAAGGCAGGGACAGTGTCCTTGTAGTAGACATAGGAAGACTCCAGCAGACGAATGGGGTTCCTCAGGATGGAGAAGTAGAAGGTGTTTGCTGCCATCACCTTTTTCACCTGTTTACGGGGAGGAAGAAGACAGGCTGTTAGTCCAGAGGCACTGCTTGTTCAACCAGGTTTCTCTGCAGGTGTTGTGGCTCTTTCTTACCTCTGAGGGGTTAAACCGCAGGTGGTTACACATGATGTTGTAGTTTTGTCCTATGGCTTCAAATTCCTCCACAAAGTGGGCCAGGAAGGTCTTTGGGTAGCCCAGGTGGACGAGCTGGTCAGCTGGGAGGGCGACGGTGAGGTTGTACCTCTCCGCAAACCTGAACATGATGTTCAGGACGGTGCTGCTGGCTGTCTTGTGGGTCTTGAGGAACATGACATTAGTCTTGACATGGCAAGGCTTGTAAGGTATCAGCAGCTCCTTGTGGCTCTTCGAGATTCTGCAGGAAGGCAACAGATGGGAGAAAGAGCCTCTCCAGTGCCGTATCCCATTTCTGAGACCTGGCAAAGCCAAACCTGAGCAGGTTCTCCTTCTGATACCACACCTGCAGCCGGTGCAAGGCACCAACCCAAACAAGCCCCATCCCTCAGGCATACATGTTGAACAGTTTTCTGCTTCTCCAGGTCCTCACTTACCCAAAGGCTTCAGCTCAATCCTCTTTTCTTTTTCCATACAGCTGATTTTGCCCCAGAGAGCTGCACTTTGGCTAATTTGGTCCCTTACCTGCCCAAATGTGGATCTAGGACCTAACTTTGGGCTGCCGCCCTTCCAGTATTAGCCTAAACCTCATGAGACTTAAATTGAGAGCATCACAGGTCAGATCCTTGCTGTCCTGGGCAAAGTCATGCAACCTTGCTTCTGCTTCACTTACATGTAATTTTTATTCTTCATACGGAAGAATCTCGACAGGAAGATGAGTCCCAGGCAAAGGCAGACAATGATGAAACATTTGATGTGCCTGGAAACAAAGAAGAGTTTCAGTGGATTTTTATCTGAAAATCCTTCCCCGAGTGCGAACCACCAAACTTTGCATATTGACCGGGGGAGTTTTTATCACCAGGAGCACAATTGTATGTCTTCGTGGTGCCAGCCACTTTTGGCTCCCCGAGCTGTGTCAGCAGCTCTGGCATTAGAGGCAGGACAGTGAGAAATTGCACTTGCACTACCGTTCCCCTAATTTTGGCCTTTGGCAAGACACAGCCTACTTCAGGCAGAGCCTAAGCTCTTCCAACAGCCTCCCACTCTGCTGCCTTTTATTTTCCTTTCTTTTGGTTTTCTGGGGCTTTACAGCTTATTCACTATTCAAGCTTCTAGTTTATTCACTAGAAAATGAGCCCTTTGTAGGGGTATAAGGATTTCCTTCGTAAGAAATCTGAGCGGCTCCTGTAAACACATCACTGCAGAAGATGGGGATCTCAAAGAACCACTAAACTGAATTTTTTTCAATATAACTGAGATTTTTCAATACAGAAAACCAATTAATAACCCAACAGCAACTGTAGCGGACTAATTATACCTTGCTTTCAAACAAGAGGACTGCTTTCCTGCTGCAACAGCTCCTCCTGCCAGCCCAGCTCCCATGCTCAGCCTCCTCCAGGTCTCCCTTTCATCCTGTCTTTTCACCTTGGCCAGACTTTAAACCGCTGAGCTCAGAGGCAGCCCTTTGGACCAAGCACCTCATCTATCTGTGCTTTGTCTGGATAATGATGAGGGGTCTTTTCCAGCACTAATTAGGCAACCACCATGTATCATTGCCAGTGCATTCTAGCTGACACACGTACAGGATCTTTTGAAGGCTTGATGCCCGCCAAAAAGGAACTTTTCATCACTAAGCTTGATCTGACTTCCCCGATGCTAAAAGCTTTTTTAACTCAGTGTGAATTCCATGTTTTCAGCTGCCATTTCCAAAATGCAGCAGATCTGGCTTGGGCTTTAAGTTGTTTTGAGAAGATATAGTCCTATTTACAGCACGGGATGGTCACACTTGTGGTTCCCACTCTCCCAAGCCAGCAAGGAAGGCTCCAAGCCTGCCCAGTCTGAGAATTGATGGGGGCAAATGGCTCACTGTGGGCTGGACCTGGTGGTGTTTTCTACTGTCTTCCTGGCCAAGGGGTCCTCACACATGGTGCTGCTGCACAGGATGGTGGCTTTCATAGCCTCTAGCTTGTACCATGTGAAAGACGCTGAATTGCTCCTTCCAGTTGGCCTTCCAAGAGTGCAACCACCAGCTTTATCTGGCATGGTCTACAACATCCCACTGACTGGGCACAGTACGACAAGCCAGGCTGTGACAGCCTGGGTCTGGCCATGGAAAACTGGAGAGAGGATGAGAGCAAGGTCCAACAGAACATGAAGTGCTGCACATGGCTACAGCCATTGTAGCCAGCTGTGATTGGGAAGCCACAAACCAAATGTAAACACAGTGGAAGAGTGGAGACAGGCAGTGATGTCGCAACACTGTGATGGCACTGCAGAAAAGCGTTTGACTTTGCCTGCCACACAAACCTGCCTGAAACCACTTTTGCTTCAAGCTTTGCTTTGCACCAGAGTGCTTTCCTTGTCCAACAGCACCCCAGGCAAAGTGGGAAATCCCCAGGCAGAAGAGCCCTTCCAAAGCCAGGGAAGACCCTCAGCCACAGCTGGTACCAATCTCCCATAAGAATTTGCAGCACAGCTTCTCCATGAAGAGTTTCAAGTCATAGCTACAGGCAGCCTGTCATCAGTATTTCCTAACTTTTTGTCCCAGGCCTGTTAGGGGGACAGGGGTGAGAAAATCCCTTTTCCTTTGATCACTCTACATATGTAAGTAGAGATCAGACAGGATAAGAAATGCAGAGGGGCCCACAGGCAGCAAGCAGACTCATAGCTGTCAAATGCAGCCCCTGTCTATTTTCTTGGTCTTTCATTTAAATGGAAGCTGACAATGGCGTGATGGTTTTCCAAAACATGTCACCCTGCCTGCCTGGAGGTCTTTCATAAGCTGGTCCAGTGACATCCTTCTTCTGCACCCTTTCTGTAGAGCTCAACATGTGCAATAATGGTCCACGCATTTGTTTGGGTGGTGTCCCCAAAATGGCAACTCAGATCAATGTTTTATGGGGCAAATAAATCAGCAGACACCTAAAACAATCCTGAAGACAGATCAGGGTCACAACACGCTCCAGTATGATTACCAGTCCCTTCTACTGCAAGAAGACAGGCTCTGCAGACCTCTACATCTTATCATCTCAAGGCATCCCACCATATTTTAATAGTTGTTTAATAAGAGATTACATAGTGCCATCCTGCCCCCAAATCTTCAAACACATGCAGCACACCGAGCCGATCTCCAGTGTAACTGGATGCTCCCAGCAGACCCATTTTTGTCTGGATGTGCTTCGAAAGCTGCAAACAACAGCTGGCTTTTACACCTGGAGACACAGGGAGGGATAACAATCTGGATTATCTAGGCACATAAAGCCTCAAAGTGTTGCTGGTGCAGCATAAGGGACTGGTACTGCAGTGCCAAACGTGCCCCGTGGGCAAGTTCTGGGCACAAGTGTGCCACCAGCGAGCCCCAAGGGCCCGTGTAGAGCAAACCCCGGTCTTCGTGGCACTGTCCTGAGGACAACGGCAACCTGCAGCCAAGTGACATCCACGCTGTTGCTGCGAGTGGTGGCCGCCCAGCCTGTCGGGCTTGCCAAAACCAGGGCAGTTTCCTGGAACGGCCAGTTTTAAGGAGCAAGAGTGACCAATTTCTTCAGCATGTGGGCCATGGTGGTGTCAGTCCCCATGCAGAAACGATAGGCTTCTTGTCCCAGGGGTGCTGAACAACGCTACTCTGTGGCACGGTGTTTGTTCCCCTGCCTGGGGATGTATGGGTGGAAAATGATCTGCTTTCCAGCTCAGGGAGCAAGCGGGGAGCAGGGACAGGGAGGGGTCTGCAGCCACCTTCACCCCGCTGCACCTCAACCCAGCAAAGGGGAGTGACCGAAGCATTCAGGGGAAGGGCCAAGGGCAGGGATCGAAGTGATCCCCAGGGAGGAGGGCAGGAAAACGGAGACCAAGGGGGAGACAAGAGAAGGGGGTTGCAGGTACACAGGGTGCTGGTCAGTGCACTCATGCAGCCGAGTTCCGTGCCTGATCACTGGGGGGGGAGGGTCCTGTCCCTATTGCCCCCCGGGCTTGGCCACCAGCAGCAGCACTCGCAGGGGCTGTCACTGGCTTCAGCATGTCCTGCAAACCTGCACATGGGGTTTCACCATCCATTCTGCAGCCACCGCCCTGGCTCACCTCTGTGAGAGCCAGCACCACTCTTAAAGACTGTTCCCTTAGTGTCACACACACACAAGACTGCAAGTCTCTGACCAAGCCACTCCTAAACCTGTATGTCTTGGGCCAACAGATGCCATATTCAATGTTGGCTAAAATATCGCCCATCCTTTAATCCCTTCAAGAAAGACAAGTCCCACTCATCCAAGAGCTATTTTGCTGTTGACTGTCTCACACGCACGGGCTGAAGGTGAACGGGGCGAGTACCTGGCGTTACAGAAGACAGTGCTGATCTTTTAAACAAACAGTTACAGCCATAAGCAGAGGGATTTCGTAACCACCTGGAGTATCAACGGGAGCGTGGAGGGCATGACGCACAGGATCATGGCTGCAGCAATTTCTTCCTTCCGCACACCACAGCAAAGGAAGCATTTCACCTGCTGCACATGAAGCCTGACATAGCTGAGAGCTGCAGGGTATGGTCAGAGTCCCCATCTACTTTTTTGCCCCATTAATATAGTCTTTTGCAAAGTTCAAGAGAGAAAGCCACTATTCGAACATCGCACGAAAGTCACGCAAGACATGCAACCAGCCTGGGAGCCCTTTGAGGAAGCACTTGGGAGCTGATTGCTAAGACACAAAATTCTTCTCAGAAACCAAAAATCTTGCAAAGGTATCAGCAGGGCTGGCACCGGAGGTTCGACTTGCCTTTCTGACTGTGCTGTGCCATCTCCCAGCCAGGAAGAAAACATGGAAAACTATCTCTCAGGTCACACTTTGGGGTGCTGCTATGGATGCTTTAAGGCTTGGGATAACCTTCTCGTTCATTTGGCTTAAGCTGAAAATAACACACCTCCGTGTCAACCTAACAAGGTTCTTTCAAATTAAAAGACCTGGAATACAGGAAAGAAACATTCACGGCAAAATTAATCTCTACCCTGGAGCAAACTGTAACTAACTCCATAGGCTATTAACAACTTACAGGGATTAATTGAACCAGACGTTTCTACAAACCACGTCTTAATTCTGCACCCATAGCATTCACCTCCCTCTCCCCTTACCTTGAAGTGCACCCAGGGCTTTTCACGGTGCCTCACTGCTGCGAGCTAGAAAATATCTCCTTTGCAAATCGACTCCAGTACTCCTTTCGTCTACGGGCTCCTCCGGCTCTCAGTGTACGCATCTCTATTTCTAATATCCCATCGCTGCTATAAATGGCTGGGATAGGTGAGGACAAAGGGAGTGGCTAGGTGTTCCCAGAGGCGGGTGGAAGTTAATTAATAAGCCATGAAAAGCATGACATTAACACAGGTACAAAGAGCTGCCTCAGGAGACGGAGTTTACAATAGTTTTGCAGGGAAGTAAGGGTTTAGCAGGGACCCCTTAGTGGGAACCCCCTTCTCTCCTGGCTGCAGGAGGGAGGTGTGCGGGGCTCAGGGCAGGATCCAGGCAGGGTGGCGAGGGGCTGAGGGAGGGCATTGTCGGCCCCTTCGTCACCCTGCCCACCGTCACATCGCTTGCTCGGCGTCCCTTCCCTGCCCACCGCCACGCTGCTTGGTGCCATGGTCGGTGCCTGCTGTGCCTTTCCTCCACTTCTTGCTCGGTGATTTAGGACTAGAATTCTCTGCCAGACACATTTGGCAACAGGAAGTTAGGGACAACAGCAAAACCGGAACAGTGTTTACCTATTGGAAATTCCCTTTAAAACATTTAGACTTCAAATTCCCGGTAAAAATGCAATTGTTGTAGCTGGAGGTTAAGAGCTTAGAGACTTTGCTGTATCTTGGCCTTGGGAGAGCGAGCTCCTGCTCTCAATGGGTGTTATTTTATGGTTTGTCTACAAAATGACTTTCTGGTGTTATTAACAACTTGCATTACACAGGAATTTGAGGTTCCACCAAGGCCCCCACATGCCAGCACTTCACAAACTGGGTTTGATGGTTGCAAATTGCCCCGGGAGAGCAGGATGTGTCCTGCAGGTCTGGAGGTGGGGTGATCTCCCCTGCTCCCCACAGCAGGGATGAAGTCAATGCTCTCCTCATTTGGGCAACAAAAAGTTTACCCCCATCTCCCAGCCTGGAATAGGGGATTAAGCTGTTGCTTTGGCCTCTTACGGCCACACCGCTTCCCATGCACCTCCTGATGTGGTCCCCTTTCCCTCCCCACCCATGGTGCCACCTTTCCAAACCTTGCACACTGGTGGCGCAACCTGCTACATCAAGAGGCAAGTCCTCAGCATTCTGGTATCCTTCACCTATGTTGCTAAGTCTTCAAAGCGCCCAAATATACAGCATTTCTTTTTAAATCACAACTTCCTCAGGCCAGCCCCAACTCCAGTGCTTATCAAGATTCAGAGATTAGCAAGGTATAGAGTTGCTTTCCTTGAGTTTCTTGGTAGAACGTGAGCCAACATGCTATTTTATGAAGAATTTCTAGGGTTACTCTTGGCACAGTGTCAGCTGCTGCTGGCAGGGGGGTCACATTTAATAGACTTCCTTCTCCTGTTACATTATACACGTCAGCTGTGCGATTTCTTGCTCAGAAGCTGGTAGAGCTCAGAAATCACAAAAGTCCATTTTTTACACTTTTACAATTGATTCATTGCTCTCTCCCGGGGTGTTGTACACCTATCATCAGGTTTGGTTACGCAGAAAAACATGGTGCCGTGCAGAAATACATGGCTTCACGTGGGGACGGGCTGCTCTGAGGCTGGAAGCAGTGAAGGAAAGCCAGCTGATGCAGAATTAGTTAGCTGGGGCAGCATGCTGAATTAATACCTCCACACTGCCTCTGCTTCATGTGCCTGCTTGCTTAGGGGAGAGTGTTGTGGGTCAGCCCCCCTGGGCAGCTTGGCCCCACGCAGCCGCTCGCTCACACCCCCATAGCAGGATAGGGAGGAGAATTGGAAGGGTAAAAGTGCAAAAATTCACAGGTTGAGACAAAGGCAGTTTAACAGGTAAAGCAAAAGCCGCGCACGCAAGCAAAGCAAAAGGAATTCATTCACTACTTCCCATTGCAGGCAGGTGTTCAGCCATCCCTGGGAAAGCAGGGCTGGTGGAGCGTAACAGTGACTTGGGAAGACAGACGCCATAACTCTGAATGCCCCTCTTCCTCCTTCTTCCCTCAGCTTTTATTGCCAAGCACAATGTCACATGGTGTGGGATATCCCTTGGGTTAGTTGGGGTCAGCTTTCCCAGCTGCCTCCCCTCCCAGCTTCTTGCACAACCCTAGCCTGCTCACTGGTGGGGCAGGGTGAGAAGCAGAAAAGACCTTGACGCTGTGCAAGCACTGCTCAGCAACAGCTACAACATCCCTGTGCTATCAACACTGGTCACAGACCCAAAACCTAGCACCATACCAGCTACTATGAAGAAAATTAACTCTATCCCAGCCAAAACCAGTAGAGAAAGTCAAGTGCTTCCTCACTGTGCCAGAAGACCACTGCTTCAAAGTGTTGAGCATCCACATCATTCTAATATTTAAGTCTGTCCCACAAAAAATAGAATTTTGGACAAGAAATTCCTACCACAATGATTCTTTATAAAAATACCACCCATGCACATACATGTACCCACCCTGTCTCTCCCTCCTATATACAACAGTGAACCAATATCTGAAAGCAGCATTGAGAACGTGGAAGAGAAGGATAATACTTGTGTTTCAGGTCTAGGAAAGATACTATAAAACAACCCTACAATAACTCCTCCCTTCTATTCCCTCAGGATAATTGCTCTATTGTTTAGCTAAAATGGTAAACTTACATTGAGCTTAAGGATCTTCATGTGTAAAGCAGACAGCCGAATGTAGCTGTGCCAGAATTTCCCTGGCCACAGCACTAGGTTGTCAGTCAGCCCTGACTGCCTCCCTAGCACTCTCTCCATATGTAGCTGAAAAGCAGCAGTATGGAAAGTTCTGCTTCCCAAAAAGAACCATTCACATGTAAAGCCTGTATTTTAAACAATTATGGTCAGTGGTTTGGGGGAAAAAAAAGAGAAAGAATGGCATAGGAAAAAGGCAGAGAATATAAACAGCCTGATCCGGAAAGAACGAGCTGCATCGGCTTAACTTGGCAGAAAGCAAATCCTGTAAATTTCTTCTCTAACAACATCATGGACTTTCCATATTTTTGCATCACCTGATATACAAGCATCACAGGCTGACTGCGTTTCACATTGTCTTCTCTTTGCTAATGACAGCATTGTTCACTCTGCTTAACCCCAGAAGATCAGCTCCTCTCTGAGCAGTCCTGAGGAATGAAGGGAGAGGTGGGGAGGACACTGATAGCAGAAAGAAAGAGGGAGTGGGAGGGAAGAGACCAGAGGCCAGGTCCTAGATATTGGCACTGCAGATTGTGTAACATATGGAGGTATTTCTGTTAAAAGCATCTGTGCAGCCAAGTTAAGACAGTTGTGACCCTAGAATTGTATTGTGAAGGGTGTTGCAACACAGCACTGAGCGTAAGCCATCATCCTCAATGCAATTCAACAGCTTGCAGCGTTGTAGAGACAGTGTTCTGGTTAAAAACAGAAGAAAAAAGACTCTGTAGGATGATTTTCTTCCAAGAAAAAGGCTCTGGATGGAACATCTATTTCACTGCACTGTGGAAGAGCAGAAATCACTGAAAAGCAGCTAATAGAGAAGACAGTTATTGGGTAACACAACCACATTTCCTAGACTCACAGAGTCTGGTGAAGCCTCCCAAACCAGCAGACCTGTGTAAAACCTGTGTAAAAACATCACCACCCTCTGAGCACAGCCTGTGAGCCAATTTCCTACCCATCTTGCAGACCACCCATCTTGTCTGCACCTTGCCAGCTTGCCCAGGAGAAGACTGTGGGAAACCGTGTTGAACGCTTTGCCAACATCCAGGCAAACAACATTCTCTGCTCTCCCCATGTCAGCAGAAAATGCTATTTTGTTGTAGAGGGTGGTCAGGTTAGTGACTCGATTCACCTTTGGCAAATTCTTCCAATCCCCTGCTTCATTTGGATACAGCAAAGCTTGTGTTAACAGAGTGACATGTATTGATAAACATGGATGTGACTAGCAAACAATGAGTAGACCAGATGACTCACTAGCAGATGGCTTGGCCTGCCCACTGATACCAGAAGGGTGACAATGTGGTTTTGTACACCAAACTGTAAATGACAATCTCTCCTGTCTTCTCAAAACATGAGACAGACTGTAGCCAAAAAACCCCAACAAACCAACAACCCATCTGAGAATAGCCCAGCTGGAAGGGACCTACAACGATCATTTAGTCCAACTGATGAGCCGTCCACTTCAGGGCTGACCAAAAATTAAAGCATATTATTAGGGGCATTGTCCAAATGCCTCTTAAACACTGACAGGTTTGGGGCATCAACCACCTCTCCATGAAGCCTGTTCCAGTGTTTGACCACCCTTTGGGTAACAAAATGTTTCCAAATGTCCAGTCTGAACCTCCCCTGGTGCAGCTTTGAACCATTCCTGGGTGTCCTGTCCCTGGATCCCTGGGAGAAGAGCTCAGCACCTCCCTCTCCACTTCCCCTCCTCAGGAAGCTGCAGAGAGCAATGAGGTCCCCCCTCAGCCTCCTATTCTCCAAACCACACAAACCCAGTGTCCTTAGCCACTCCTCATAGGACATTCCTTCCAGCCCTGCCACCAGCTTGGTTGCCCTCCTCTGGACATGAATGTCCAGTACCTTCACATCCTTCTTAAATGGAGGGGCCCAGAACTGCACACAGTACTCGAGGTGAGGCCGCACCAACACCGAACACAGCAGGACAATCCCCTCTCTTGACCGGCTGGTCATGCTGTGTTTGATGCACCCCAGGATGGGGTTTGCCCCCTTGGCTGCAAGGGCACACACTCCTGGCTCCTGTTGAGCCTACTGCCAACCAGCACCCCCAGATTTCTTTCTGCAGGGCTGCTCTACAGCCACTCCTCGCCCAATTTGTACTTGTGCCTGGCATTACTCTGTCCCAGATACAGAATCCAGCACTTGGACGTGTTTCATGCTCCAATCTATCTAGATCCCTCTGCATGGCCTCTTGTCCCTTCAGAGAGTCAATAGCATTCCCAGCTTAGTATCGTCAGCAAAATTGCTAATGGTACATTCAACTCCTGCATCGAGATCACTGATAAAATTATTGAACAGCGCTGGCCCTAGGACTGAGCCCTGAGGAACACCACTGGTCACCAGTCACCAGCCAGACGTAGCCCCATTCACTACAAGCCTTTGAGCTCTGCCCTTCAGCCAGTTCTTCACCCAGCTCACTGTGACCTCACTCATCTCACAGTTGGACAACTTGTCCAGAAGGAAGCTGTGAGGGACAGTATCAAAAGCCTTACTAAAATCTTTACTAAAAAAATATGCAAACTGAGGAAACAGAGAGTGCCTGGGATTTGTGGAGGGTCAAGCAAGATCCTCAGTCAAAAGTATAAAAGACATGTCCAAACCTCCCTTATCCTCCCACAAGTGTCCCTGGCCAGACCATATGGACACGTAGCACAGGTGACGCATACTTGTGAGAGGGCATGCAAAAGTTATGAGAGAATGAACATGAGTAAAATCAGCCTGC